TGTGTGTGTGTGTGTGTGTGTGTGTGTGTGTGTGTGTGTGTGTGTATGTGTGTGTGTGTGAAGAGACAGATGAATGAGATGAATGAGATGAGAAGATTTCAAGTCTGGGATTTCTTTTTTCTTTTTAACCGGTTCATGTCTCGTTCATTTCGGATAAGTGCTACTATAGACGTTACGAACGAGCCTAGTCTACTCTATACCGAATTATCATCATCATTCATCATTCTGATGCTGAATCATCGACCGCTCGCTTGCTCGCTGTTATGGGGCGGGTACGATGGCGATGGTAGTAAGGTAGTAAGTAGTAGTGCAATGCCCGTTTTTCTTTTATCATCCTCCGCTCTCGTAGTGGTATCATTCATTCTTTTGTCGAAATTTTCCCGCTCGCTCGGACTCATTGCACAATATCTCGTTAATCGGTGGGGGATGGGGGGATGATCTTTCATCATCATCATCATCATCTAGTATGACCACCTGTGTTGAAAAAAGAAAAAAAAAAAGGTTAGCGACTCTGATTTCTCGAAACTTGGTGAATGGATGGGCTTACCAATCTCCTTGGTCGCGCATGGCGGCAGCGACTTTGCTGAAACCTGCAATGTTGGCGCCGGCGACGAGCGATGGGAGCTCGCCATCTGCGCCCTTGACGTACTCCTTGGCTGTCTCGAGGCAGTTGTTGAAAGCGGCTTCCATGATGCCCTGTAGGAATTGTCATCGTCAGTATGGGTCGTTCTCTCGTAGATGGTCACAAGTGAAAAAGAAAAGAAAACTGACCTTCAGCTTGGAGTCAACCTCTTCGCTGGTCCATGTCAAACGAGCAGAGTTCTGTGCCATTTCGAGACCAGAGACGGCTACACCACCGGCATTGGCAGCCTTTCCTGGTCCGTACCAGATCCCGTCACCCTTCTTCTCCTTGCGAGAAGCCTCAAACACATCAATAGCTTCCTGGGTGGAGCCCATGTTGGAGCCCTCGGCAGTGAACTTGCAGCCGGCCTTGACCAGTGCCTCGGCCTCCTCGCCCGAGACTTCATTCTGTGTGGCGCAGGGAAGAGCGACATCGACGTTGCCGACGTGGACCCATGGGCGTGCACCGTCAATGTACTTGAACTTGTTCTTGTACTCTGCACTCTCCGACAGCTCGGTGAGGGACTTTCTCTTGACCTTGAGATCGGCAATGTAGTTGACGACCTCGGGAGTGATGCCCTCGCCCTCGGTGGCAATAATGGCACCCTTGCTGTCGGACAGGGAGACAATGGTGGCTCCGAGCTCGATGGCCTTGAGTGCGGCGTACTGTGCGACGTTGCCAGACCCGGAAATGGCGACTTTCTTTCCCTTGAAAGACTCCTTGCCACCAGAGGCGTACTGAATCATGTGCTGAACGTCTGTAAAGGTTGTCAGTGTCTCCCGCGCAAAATAGAGCTCTTGGAGAAAAGGGCTCAGACTCACAGTAGACGAGACCGTAACCAGTGGCCTCGGGGCGAATCAGAGAACCACCCCAGCTGCCGCCCTTGCCAGTGAGAACGCCCTCCCATCGGCCTCGCTCGGCGCGGTATGTGCCAAACATCCAACCAATCTCACGAGGCGAGACACCAATGTCACCAGCGGGCACATCCGTGTCGGCGCCAATGTGCTTGCTCAACTCACGCATAAAGGCAACGCAAAACTTGCGAATCTCATTGTCCGACTTGCCCTTGGGGTCGAAGTCGGCACCACCCTTTCCACCACCCATGGACACTGCGTGGACTTGTCGTTAGCTTCTTCTTCTTCTTCTTCTTCATGTTCTTCCTCCCTGCAATGCAAGGAATGGAATGTAATAGGATGAGGGTAAGAATACATACGTCCAGTGAGAGCATTCTTGAAAATCTGCTCAAAACCCAAAAACTTCAAAATGGAGAGGTTGACAGAAGGGTGGAATCGTAGACCGCCCTTGTAGGGACCGAGAGCAGAGTTGTACTGCACACGGAAACCACGGTTCACCTGGCACTCGCCCTTGTCGTCCTCCCACACCACTCGGAACTGGATGACGCGCTCGGGAATGGCGGCAACCTTGAGAGCCTTTTTGTACTCAGGGTGCTTCTCAAACAGAGAGCTGTTCTCGAGCGTGGAGGCCAACTCCTTGTAGGCCTGCTCGAACTCGGGCTCTGAGACGTTGTTGGTAGTCATGATGGCGGTTGTGTTGTGCGGTAGTGGGTATGTTTCGGTGTGAAGTGTGCGTATGGACTCGAGGTGGTGGTTGTGGTTGTGGTTGTAATGCTGTAAGTGCAAGACTTGGGATCAAGCAAGCAAGAGTTAGGTGGTAGTGAGTCACCGAGGTCAAGGTGAGAATGAAGAGTCAGAGTGAGGAGTCAGAGAGGGAGAGGAAGAGAGGAAGGAGAAGAGGAAGAGGAAGAGGAAGAGAAGAAAGAGAAGAAGAGAAGAAGAAGAAGTAGTAGTAGAAGAAGAGAGACCCAAGAGAGAAGAGGACATCCACATCCAGCCACCCGTTGCCTCTCAGCTGCAACTTACACGCGTCTACCGCCCATCACATGTGGGAGAGAGAAAGAGACGTGCTACAGCAGACCAAGACAATGCAAGGCAAGGCCAGGTCAGGGCAGAACAAAAGAAAAAGAAGCATCCAGCCTTACCTTAGCCTTACCATTTGCCATTTGCTAACAACGCCGGCCTTGCACGGAGGAGCACCGCTCGCATCCACATCCACATCCACATCCCCTCTCCTCTCTATGATGACCCTCCTCCTCCCACTCCTTACCCCCTTCTCCCTCCCCTTTCTCCTCCTGAGAATAAAAACATAATTCCACACCGCCCTCATCCATCCACCACCACCACAGTATTCTCATCGTCATCATCATCATTAATAACAAAATAACAACCCCCCCGGAAATGCCACCGAAAAGAAAGCAACAACGATGTCATTCATGATTTATTTTTTTCTGGTTTCGGTTCCATAGCGAGAGAGGGGCTTGTAGCTCCCGATAAGATAAGAGCTTCTCATTGGTACCAGACTAGAGATGCGCGATGCGCCCGCCGATCTAGGAGCTAGCTACCTCAGCCAAGCGAGCTGTGTGAGCTGTGAAGAGCGACATCGGATCGCCTAGGAGGTACCTGCAGGTAGTGAATGATGAATGACGAATGACGAATGACTTCTATAGGTACGAGAAGACAGTGGGATGAAGATGATTTTGACTGTTCCGAAAGAAACTCCGCCCAACAAAAAGGGGACATGAGCACAGGGTCCCTGAATTACTTTCCTCTCTCGCATCATGTGTCATTTAGGGTATTCACATCAAAATACGAGAAACGTGATTACCTAAAAAAGGTACCATGTACATCCTACTCGTATACACCTCATGAGGCTTATGTATACATGCACAGCATGTGATGTAAAGGTAGGAGGTACATGTAGGTTCGACTCTGGAGCTGGCGAGACCGGGCGAGACAAGTGATGACTAAACTCAGGGTACCTCAACTACATACCTGAACTAGGACACAAGGAGGTAGGAGGTACAGGTACAGGTACTGCGAAGCCGGAGAAGCACTTCTCAGGAACATACCTAGCTTCTACACCTGGGTGGTAGAGACTAGTATGTAGTCTTCCCACCCGGACGGGGGAGTTGTCTGATCTGGGTAAAGACTATAGGTACCTTCTATAGGTAGTAACAATTCACTCTTTTTGAATTCCCGGTTCGTACGAGAGAGTGTTTGTAGAGTTGGAGAGGTATTCTGAGAATGACTGCTGTAAGAGAAGAAAGTAGCGAAAAGGCATGTGAGCAATGGCAGAAGCCGTGCTGTTCTGTCCTGTGCTATCCTGTCACTAGCTGGTACGACGCTCTACGCTCTACACTGCTTTACTCCTGCATGCTCTCAGTCGACTCAAAGTCTCGCAGAAACTCTTCAATCTCCTTGGGAGAACTGACTCCCCAGACACCGCCACCACGAACCGCACCACGCATGCCCACTTCCTTTCCGACCTGTCGCCACACACACAGAGTTTGGATCAGTACGAGCATCATGAAAGGGAAACACCAGAAGTGGCGACTGCAGAGGACACTTACCAGATTACGGCCGACTTTGCCCGGCCCAATTCCAATCCACCGCTTCACCTTCTCCTCCTGATGGAGATACACAATGCTATCATGCCACAGCACCGTCTCCACGCACTGCCTCGCGAGCAGATCCTTGAGCTGCTCTTTACTCTGAAATGGCCTCGCCGAGACATTGCTGATGCAAGGCATCAACCCGGGCCACACCACAATGTCCTGATCCCGCTGTGAAGGGGAGGCTTGGTAGAGCATCTTCTTCATCAGATCCGCTGCAGGCCGCATCAGAGGACTGTGAAAAGGACTGTCGGAGCTGAGTCGCACCGCTCGAGGATCGTGGCCTCCAAATTGCCTCAAATGCGTCATGAGTTCCTGAATTGCCCGAATCCCACCAGACAATACAATCTGATTCTTCGAATTCACATTCGCAATCAGAACCTGACGAAGAGCTGGTGGTGGTTGGTCGTGATCACCATGGCTGTCGTCCGTCTTTTCCGACGTATGTCCCAGAAAGCTGTGAATCGCTTCTACCATCGCCGGTAGACGATCTGCCTCGCACACCAGCGCAATCATTCCCACCTCCTCTTTCGCCTCTTTACTGCATTTCGCCATCGTCTCTGCTCTCCGCCTCACGAGCTTCAACGCATCCGTATCTCGTAGATATCCTCCAGCCACCAACGCCGCAAACTCGCCCAACGAGTGGCCCAGCGTCACATCAACTCGCTCATTCACTTTAAACCCAAACTCCTGCTCGAGCACGCGCAACACAATCAACGACGTCCACATAATCGCCGGTTGAGCATTTTCCGTTGCAGTCAATCTACTATTCGGCCCTTGTTCGATAATTTTAGAAATCGGCTGCTTCAACGTCTCATCCAACTGCTCCAACATGGGTTTCACCGTGCGAGGAAATGCTTCGAGCCAGTCTGTCGTCATGCCTACACGCTGCACGCCTTGTCCGGGGAAGAAGATGGCGGTTTTGGGCTGTCCACCTCTGGCTGCCGGTGGCATTGTGGTTTGCCATCGTGCCTGACACGACGCGTAGACTGCTGGTCGAATGGAGGCTGGAAGCGATAGAAGTGCGTTTCGGGTGGACGCTGAGAGCTTCGTAGAGCTCAGTAGATGCGCCATGGGCGTGGGACACGACTAGGTAGGTTTGTAGGCAGGTAGGTAGGCAGGTAGGTTGGTCACGAGGATGTGGTGGTGATTTGATGGTGGCTGATCATAGAGTCCGACGAGATCGATTGTCTAGTACGCACATGTTATTAGTGTCCCGTAGTAGCATGAGTTGTTGGTAGCGTATGTCAGTTACTCCCATGATCGGTATTCTAGTTCGGCTGGTGGGAAGTACGGTAGAGGTAGCGGTAGTGTTCAAGGACAGGACATCGGACATCGGATATCCTCGGCCCTTTACCTCCTCCTATCCCCCTCCACCTCCACCTCCACCGTCACCACCCGTCGATCATCAACCTTTCAACCATCACATGATCTTTTCACAACAGTCAGTTAGTCCGTCAGTCCGTCAGTCCGTCAGCTACTACACTGATGAGATATTCGAAGCTTGGTCTAGAGATAAATTCTTTCGTGATTTTTTTCGGCAACATAACATAATCATCAGTACCTGTAAACAGCAGCAGCAGCAGGAGGAGGAGGAGCTCTTAAGAGTAAGTAGGGGGTTAGTAGTAGGTAGGGCGATAGAAGTACGTAAAGTATCAATCATTTAATGATATGAGTGAGAGACATGATTTCCTCCTGCTAGCATCTATATGAGGTACACACACTTTCATTCCCACATAACACACACTCGAGTCCTTAGGTACCGCAACATAAGAAATTAGAGAGCGAGAGAGAGAGAGAGAGAGAGAGAGTAATTCCAGTCCGCTCCCAAACCTCCCCCTTTTCCCAACATACATAGATATAGAGAAGAGCCCCAACCCACCCTCGGGTTATTGTGTTCGCTGATGTATAGGTATGTAGATAGATAGTACATGTTACCCATAAGTTTGACAGCCCAGCCAACAGCAGATATGCTATTGCTGCTGCTGCTGCTGCATCTCAAGAAAGCAAGCCAAAACAACAAAAAGGAAATACTATTCTAATTTTTCTTGCAAAAATCAGATTAGGTAAACACGGAAACGCCACACACACACACATATACCAACGACGATTCGTCCCTTCACTCCCTTCCCTCACTCACTAGCGGAACACTTTCCTTGTACCATCTCCCCTTCCTCTCTGTCCCCATGCATGCGTGCATGCATCTCTCCCACCTGTCCCATCCACCCCAGTGGCCAACTATCAAATCATATCGGCAGCTGACGTCTTCCCTCCTCTCAAGCTCTCATATAGAGAGCCCTCCTCTGCACCTCCTCTGCCTCCTCCACAGGAGCAGCAGCAGCAGCATCAGCATCTCTCGTCTGCCATTTCTTCATATTAGGAACGACAGCAAAATCCTGCGGCCGATTGGCAATGGCGTCATCTGGGTCTGCCGATCGCTTCGATTTCTCGCAGCTGCCATCATCCTCCTGCGTCGCCCTCGCACGCAAAGGATTCTGGTATGGGCAGTTACTCTGAATCACAGATCCACCTTTCTTCTGGGCATTGGCTCCTTGATGATGTTGCAGTTTGGGTAGCGCCAGAGGCATCGCGCTGCTGGAGATGACGACCGTGAGGCCGACGAGCAAGGTGGAAAACTTCATCGTGACTAGTGTGGCTTAAGAAAATGGGTCGTGGCCGTGATTATCTTCTTTTTTTTTGTCTTGGTTTTTTGGGAGGGGTTTTTTTTACTGCAATGGTATGTCAGTACACATTACACACATACACGTCTCTATCGCATGCATGGAAGCAGCAAGTGGATAGTGACATACGGTGTTTAGGTATGCGTGAAAGGATCGATCGGGCCGCCAGCCGAGTGGAAGCGATGTCTTGTGTGAGTACGTGAGATTTTAACGACAGTCGTGTTGCGGTGCCGTTGATTCGTAAAGCGGCAACAATGTAATGAGAGCAGGAGCAGTAGTAGTAGTAGTAGTAGTAGTAGTGGGCGCGTGCGGTCAAGGAGAGGGATGAGGAAAGCTTGGAGATGCGCCCGCCGAAGATACGAGGTGTACTCGCATTCGATTTGAAGTATTTCCCCTCTTGACCAGGCAGCCATGTCTGTAATCACTTGTCGTTGGCGAGGAGGTACGGTTCGGTAGCAGAGTTCAATAGCAGTCCAGGGCCAACCCCCCGACAGAGCGTGTCTATCCTGGACGTAAGCAGGCCAATGTCCCATACTGGAAGGGGACCGGGTGCACAGGTATACCACACGATTACTTCACGTGGCTTTGCGTCGCTGGAGCAATATTGAAGTTTCACGTTCGGTGCAGTCTGTTTTCGTCGCGGACCACTGGGTCATTGACTCACTGGGAGGAGTGACAATTCTTCCAGGATATCTTCAATCATCATTGGCCACGCAGAATGTGTGGTTTTATCCAGAAAAAAAGGCACCACTAGGCCGATGAGGAGTCGAGCCCGGGAGCCGGACTGATTTTAGGATACGGTGGTATGTTCTTATTATGGTGCGGACGTGGACATTGTGCGCTCTCCAGCGGTCGTGAATAGTCTGTCTCTCTTTTTTTTTCATGTTATTTTCTTTTTGACCTTACTGTGCGCGCGAACGCATCTTGGTGTATGTAGCCCACTCCCAAGCGATCGGTGCGGTATGCGTTAATCATCCCCATCATAACCCGTGGCGATCATAGGTAGCATGCAGCATTGGGCAGCACCGAAAAGTCCCGACAATGATGCTGTGATGGGCCGGGAGAAGAGTGGCCGGCGCGCTGGGATGGCTGGTTCGAGTGTCTGGAGGCTGGCGGAAAGAGTCCAACAAGCACACGAGGGGGGAAAGAAGTAAGATACCTCACTCGAGTCTTGGCTTCACTTCACTTCTCCCGGCCCGTCCTGACGACCAATGACATGAGTCCCGACACAGTGGTCATGCCAGGGCAGTCGACATCGGCGTCGTGCAAGTAGTCCGTTTGATCCATGCCCCTTGGACCGTGCTGAAGAGCATGTATAACAAGGGCAACGAGGGACACAAGGGACACCCTGATCACTACTTGCGTTCCCTGACAATGCCCTTCCCATATGGATTGATTACGAGTGTACTGTGCTGCTGATTCGTCCTCTATCTGCCGGGGGGGAGGCAGCATCGATGATGGATGAGCCTGCTTGCGACGTTGCTACACACATGATATGATGATACATTTCCCACAATTACCTCAGTCTCGGCACTTATACCGTAAAGTACTGTTCTGACCGGCCCTACTTTGTCCCTAGGTAGCTTGTTGTTGCTTCAGCCTCTTCAGACTTCAGGATTACAGCTGCTTACATAATCACGACGACAACAACACGTCTTTCATGTTCACGCTCAGCATAAGGTACAGGTACCCGCGGCGCGAACACGACGTGATGTGATGATGCAGCTCCCATAATCCACTCATTCCGCCCACTCAACCTGCCAAATGGACCGACCACTCCTCATCTACATCCTCCTCCTCGTCTCCTCCGCCTTCTTCCTCCTCTCCCGCCTGCTCACCATCCTCAATCCCGCGCGTCCCAAACCCTTCCGACCCTCCCGCCGCCATGCTCAAGAGCCCACGCACCTCCTCATCGTCCTCGGCTCCGGCGGTCACACGGCCGAAATGCTCGCCATGCTCGAACGCAGCATGACAGAACCTGACCACTCCCTCCGCCTCGATCTGAACGACTTCCGCCATCGGACGTGGATCGTCAGTTCCGGGGACGCGTTGTCAGCTGAACGCGCGCGAGATTTCGAACGGCGTGTGGACGAACTGTATGAGCAGCGTGTAAGCAGCAATTCTGTTTCGGAGTCTTCGGCTTCTTCGACGAGCTGGAGTGAAGGCGGCAGAGGCACGTTTGATATTCAGACTGTACCTCGGGCGAGGGAAATTCATCAAAGTTTACTCACTGCGCCAGCTTCATGTCTGAGATGCTTTGTGGCTTGTGTGATGGTCTTGTCTCAGTACACGGGAGGTCCGGGCGAGTTGGACTTTCCCGATCTGATTTTGGTGAATGGACCTGCTACAGGGACAATCGTAGTTCTGGCTTCACTGGTTTTGAGATTCTTTGAGGTGTGGGGGTGCAATTGGAAGGGGAAGATGAGGACTATCTATGTGGAAAGCTGGGCGCGAGTCAAACGATTGAGTCTATCTGGCAGATTACTGGAATCTGTCGTTGACCGATTCTTGGTGCAGTGGCCCCAGCTGGAGAGGCCTGGTGGAAGGGCAGAGTTTGTGGGCGTGCTGGTGTGAATGCAATGCTCAAAGACGTCGCAATTATGCCACTATACACTGCGCCTGTTGGTAATTGCTTAGTGTTCGCTAAGCTGCAGAGATGACCAGGCCATTGCCACTAGGGCCCTTGCTCTATCCCTCCTCAGGCTGATGATGATGAAGAAGAAGAAGAAGAAGAAGAAGAAGAAGAAGAAGCAGAAGAAGACTCGAGACTTGCTAGGACTCGTTGTTATTGTCTTCCTTCTCGAGCCCAAACAGCCTGCGAACTGGACGCAGGGCCTCCATATCTTGGTCCAAAGCCAAGCGCGCATCTTCCCTGCTCAGCCAAGATCCCCCAAACTGCACTTCTTCATCCTCCAAAGCTGCTTCCAACAGAGCCTGGTCCGGCTCCACCGAGAGCGTCTGGTTTCTGCTTGCCTTGGTCACGAGCTTGACTCTGACGAAAGCCGTCTTGAAAAGAGGCCCACTGCGCTCTCCACCAGGCGCTGTCAACGGATATGGCAGATTGTCGTACAGCACACTTCTCCTGTCGACAAACATGTCTTTGTCGCGGAGACCTGTCCACGCTTCGGCCAAGCTCAGAGCTTCGCGATAGAGGTCCGCCATTGTCACATCCGACAGTACTGTGCTCGGTAGCCAGAAATTGTCGATGGTGTCGGGTTTCGTCTGGTCTGGTGGAGTTGCGATGACAAAGACTGATGCGCTGCGGACGACGAGGACTGTCAAGACGAGTTTGCCTGGCACCAGACCTTCACCGGGCTGGGTCTGCTTGTAGTGCGCTTTCCCTTCCATGTTTCTTTGGCCTGTCTTCGTGTCGAAAAGAGAGGCGAAATTCTCCAGATGGATGAAGTGGTAAGAGCTCTGGAATGGTTTGGTCGAAACCACTTATATATCGAGAGCAGAGTTGTGCTTATATATCAACAGCAGAGTTGTGATTCTATTGAAGTTTTACGGTAATGCTAGGTAAGTCAGGTAAGTCTATTGTGGTGTGAAGTACTCCAGTGAATGCGTGCGCCTAATGTCTTTCCAAGCCATTCACTCTTTTTCGGATTGCTCTTAGCTGCAAACACATTGCACGGGCCTTTACTTGCTATTGTCTCAACACCTATGTTGAGACACACTCTCTACTAGCACTTTACCGATTGTGCCAGGAGCTCAGCTCGGTAGAGTGAAGCAGGACGCGCTCTCCTGAGACAATCGTCAAATATTCCGGCATCTGGGTTGCAAGCAGTGCAACAGGACTCCCGTGGGCGAGAATCGAAGTGAAGCTGACCATTTGTAGACGGCCCGACGCGAGGAGAATGGTGGGAGCTCGACTTCTAAGTCCATCGTTCCAGGAGATGTACGCGTCCTCCTCGAGCAGCAACATTTGCCACGCGGTGTCGCTACCAGAGCAGCCAACGGTCATCTCGGTCATCTCCCAAGTCCCAACGTTTCGACTTCCTGAAATTCCCCGCTGAAATACGCGCCATCATCTATCGAATGGCCTTGTTGCTGTCCACGTCTGGCATCCATGTCATCACGCACCTTCACCCTTCAGCTCACATCTTCCCACGCGATGTTCACCCGTCCTGCTTGGGGCCCGGGGGGCTGCAGTGTTTTCCTTCGGCGCGATACAAACCATGCTCCGGAAATCTATGGACACCCCGCCTCTACAACAGCAGCTAGTCGTTCTATGACTGACTGATGAGCAAGGACAGTTTACCAGGTCTTTTACAGAGTAGACGGTACAGACGAAGAAGTATCTACAAAGAGTGTTGTTGTTCCGCTTCAAGCATCTCCAGATTTGGTGTGAAGCTTCCGGGTATTCACAATCCCTTCTTTGCGCTCCATGGATAATGGAGTCCAAGCGTCAAGTACCTCCTAGTCTGTCTGAGCAACTGTTTAGAGTTCAAACTGAAATTGTCCTCCTATTGGCGGTCTAGACCGTCCAATTCTGCCGGCTATAGTGCAGGTTGACAACCACTAACAATGAAGGTATAAAATACCTCGAACGGCGAAGTTGGAATCCATGAGAGTGGCACTGGGCAAGGATGAGAAGAGGTTGAATTAATGGAATGGATGGTTGTAATAACTTGTGACTTGTGTGGACGACTGAGTGAGATTCTCACACATACCTAGGCCGTATATCATCAGAGATACTAGGAGGTACGTATATGCTGTGCTGCGATTGGAGGAGCTGCAGGAAACCCTTGCGCAGAGCCTCTGTGGTCGGCCTCTTACGTGCTTTTTCACATCTACGCGTAGACTACGCGTACTGAAGTCTGACGGTAACAATAGGAGGTGCCTCGAGGGTGATGCCACAGAGCTGATTTAAGAATGATATACTAGGGACACTTACATCTCGGACACTAAATCATCTGTCTCCTCATGTTCAGCAGGATATGATATGGTCGAGTGAAGGACAGCGGTCTTGCAGGCTTGAGAGATAAGAATACACGGGCTAAGATACAAACTTCTACATCGTACCACCCATCAATTCCTCCGAGGAAGGGGTGTAAAACCATGCTGCCGCTCACGATGGGCCTCAGAGTCCTCATACTCGACGACAAACATTCTCGTAATCTTGTCGGGGGCATCACGTCCCAAACTCCGCTCTCTGCTGCTACTGTCTGACCGGCGAGCAGACCCGCTGCCCTCACGATCATTGCCGGTGATGGTGGTAATGGTCCGGCCATGCTTCGGCGAGACCATGACAAAGTCGTCGAGCGGTGTAGCTCTGCCTCTTGACCAGCTGGGAGGCATTGCACCTGATCGCCCTTCTGCGCTGCTGCCTCCCATCCCCAGCTTCTCGACGGTGAGACGGAAGAGTGGACGCAAGGTGGCCATGCAACCGGCTGTGATGCCCACGCCGATTTCTACTGTTGTCCAGATGGCGACTCCCACTGTGGTGACTAGTAGGTAAGGTCAGCAAGATTAATCCGAGAGAGGGAGAGAGAGAGAGAGAAGAGCGCGCAGAGGAGGAGGAGGAGGCTTACACAAGAAATCGCCCTCGGACCCATCGAAGCTCTGAGATAGTGATCCCACGTACGGCAGTCGTACAATGGTAGCCGACGATCCAATAGCCGCAAACGACAGAATGATAGCAACCAGTCGTTTCTGCCTAACACTCATCTGCAAATTCTTCACCATAAAAGCCGGCAAAATCCCCAACGTCCAATCCGCAATCACATTCAGCCCGGACACCGCATACGTCAACCCCACCACAATATCCGGCTTGATACAATGCTTCTCATTAATATCCAACGACCACCAATCACTAATCGGCCAACACTGAAAAACCAGCACAAACAAAAACGCAAATCCAAACACTCCCGCCGAAATCATCACTGCCCGCACAATCCAAATATGCACCCGATTCGTCGCCACTCGTAATAAAAATAATCCAATACTCACTTTCAATACCGTCGTTGCGCAACAATAAAATAATTCACAAAAATACCAAAATTTTAATGCGGTCGTCGCGTCCGAGGGGGTTAGGTTTATCAAATGTTGACCTGTGCCGTGTGCGATTCCGCCGAGTTGTGCGATGAGATAGGCTGTGAAGAGTAATTGTGCGAATACCATGGTCCAGTCGTCGCCGCCGAAGGCGCGTAGCATGAATGCTCGGACGAAGACGCGGAGGCTGACGAAGATCCAGGAGAGGATGAGGAAGGTTATGTTTACGCCTAGGGTGGCGCGGCTTTCGAGGGTTGGCATGGTGGGTGATTGTTGGGGTTGGGGTTGTGGTCGTGGTCGAAGTGCTGACGTTCTTTTTCTTCTTTTTCCAGACAGCAGTTGCAGCAGTAGCAGCAGTTGGACTTGTAGTATGCTAATGTTCGAAAATCGGTCCCGATCCAGAAAAAAAGGGGGGATTCAAGGAAGCATTGCCCAAGTCTCTTGTTCCTTGTTTTTTTTTTTTGTTCACTCAACCCAAAGTATCCCGCCACAAAACTCTCTCCTCCACTTCCTTCTTCTTGTTTGGCCCCGGGAATGCGGAATGAGAGGGCGATGATAGATTCCACAAGGACGAAGAGGCGATAGCGACAGAAAGAACCGGCTCCGATCTGGATCAATCGACAGAGTCCATCTTGTGTGTGTATGTGTATAAGTGTATGTGTAAGAGAGAGAGAGAGAGAGAAAGAGAAAGAGAAGCAAAGATATCGTCTAGTTGTCGTAGTAATAGTAATACCTCCGTAGTAGGTAACCTATCGCCGTAACTATATGGACCCGCTTACAGAGAGAGAACTCCACCTGCTTGCCAATGCCAGAAGCTAGTCTCCTCTGATCAACATCGACTCTCATCCTTTGACTCGCTTCACTTACACACAGACACAGACACAGACAGAGAGAGCCAGCCAGCCAGTCCTCTCCTCCCTCTCTCTCCTCCCCAAAAACGGCATATTGCCGGGATACACTACACTTTTTTCCCACGCGCGCGTGCGTGCGTGCGTGCAGTACTAGAAGAATGCACTGTGTGTGATGAAAGAGACGCAGGACGCAGCTGTACGGCAGATCATTCTAGGTACCAACTAAATGTAAGGTATGTACAGTGACATGACAGTGACAGTGACAGGAGAGGCGAGGAGAGAGAAAGAGAGGGAGGGGGGAAACGCAGCCCGGTCAGTGGGTCGGAGCGTGCTTCCAGAAGAAGTGTAGACGCCCAAGCGAAGCGATTTGTGATGAGGTGGTTTTTTTTTATATGTGTCCTTTTGGTTGGATTTTCAGCCACGATCTGGGCGGCGGTGATTTTTAATTCTTTTTTTCTGCCTTTTTCTTTTGGTGGAGCCTAGACGGAGGAGAGAGAGAGAGAGACAGAAGAATGGGTGGGTCGCGAGTGAGCCCGACAGACGGAAGGGAAGAAAATCGATCCTTTCCCTTTTGGTGGGTTTTCTTTTCTCGGTTCTTTTTATCTTTCTTTTGACCAAAATCTTGTATCAGGTTGATGAAATTTTCCTGAACAGATTCGTCCGGTTCGGCATAGCCAAGACTTCTTTCTTTTTCCTTTTTGTCAGCATGCTATATACATGAGATTCTCTTATGCACCATACCTCGGTTGACTATCTTCTTCACCCACAAAGATGCCGAGTGTAGGAGAAAACCCAAGAAAAATAGGTAGGCCGAGTGTCCGAGAAGTGGAGATAAGGTAACAAGGATAGGCTTGTTTAGTTGTACAGTAGTTTGCACGCACGCACTTCTGAGACAAAAAAACGGCCCGCCCCTGAACTACTCTACATGTAGTTAGGTAGTTAGTAGTCTAACTCCACTCTTCATCAGTCTTCACAACAACAAGAACAACAGACACCAACCAGAACTCCACCAGGCTAACCGATATCTGTATATCTTACTGTATATAGATATCCCAAGATTCCCTTCTGATCAAAACTCATTGTCGTCATCTCGCATTTCCGCCTCTATCTTTCTTTCTATCGATTGATTGATTGATTAAATTGACTAACAATGCACAGTCAGAAGATCTTCTCTACAAAAGAAGAAGAAGAAAAAAAGTAAGAAGCACAGGACACATACCCAACAAATCTCCCCGCCCCGAGCCCTCGGCTACAATGGACTAAAGACGAATGAGGAAGGCCAATTCTCTCTCTCTCTCAAAACAAGAGCTTGATCAAGAAGCTTGTTGTCATTGAGTACCTCGCTTACATCGTTCATAGAAAGGAATCATTATGAGTTTTCACTGCTCAATGGAATGCACTGTTCAACTGAGGTACAGTGTAACAAACAGTACTACTACCTTAGGTAGACTGATAATAAATAAGTTCCTAACAGAGAGAGGTTTCCTAGCTCGGAAATATATCGCCCGAGTTTTCTTTTTCCTTTTTATATTTTGGAAACTTCACTTTATACCTCGGAAAACATCGACCTTGGGTTTAACAAAAAAGCATACTTATCTTACCTTTAGAAGAAAGAAATTACAAAGGTGTATATATATATACAACTATATCTATACTTACTTTTCTTTTCGCCAACGGAGGTTTCTATACCTATTGTCCTAGATATGCATATAACAGTACAGTCCCTACATAATACACTTTCAATATCAACTCCCTTAGATCAAAGAATAAACCCCCTTCTAAGCGACCCCTAAAGACTAAAGCTACCTACTGTAATAAAAAAAAAGTACGTCGTGCGTCGAAGAAACCAAAGGCAGTCGTTGGGTCCGAAAGAGAAAAAAAAAATAGCTTGGAATCGGTTAGGTGATAAGAAGGGGAGAAAAGAAAAAATAAAGAAGAATCCCAACTCTAGGGCCTCGGGTATTTCTAATCTCTAATCTCTATCTCTGTATCGATTACAGATTTGGATTTGAACTTGCATCTGGATATAGGAGCGTAGTTGGACCTACTTTACTTGGAAGGTTTGTTGTGGACTAGAGAGTGAGGCGTATAGGCGAGGGTAAACAGGTATGAATATGAATACCTATGATTATGACTATGACTATGACTAGCCAGGCTACGCGATGTTTTTCGGCTATACACTACGGTCTTCTTCTTCTGTCTCTTTTCCTGTCTCTTCCCCTCATTGTTTCAAGTACATGTGTGGGGATGATATCATGCAGAGTTGAGAAGCATTAGGCAGGGCAGTAGGAGGTGCAGTAGTTGATTTCCAATTTCTCCATTCTGTTTTCAATCTGTAGCAGCCGTCGTCTAGGTACCTACTTCGATACAACGACGCTCGCTACGAATATCCTCGGCAGTTTCTCAAGCTTCTCATACCTAGGTAACCATGGAGGGAGAGCGGCCGTGTCATCATCATCATCACCATCATCACCAACTCCCATCTATCTACCTACCACTCCTTCCACTCCCCTCCCCTCCCTGTCCCCCCTCCCCCCCTCCTCCCTCATCACCCCTCTTAAACTTCTTCTCCCACCACATCCCGCCCCCCTTGGCACTCACCAAATCCTCAACCTGACCTCTAACCAAAACTCTGCCCAACTCCGCACTCGCCTGCGTCAAACTTTTTCCCGTGCGACGCATAAAATTCGCTTCATCGTCATCTTTCGTAGCTTTGCCAAACATGAGATGCATATGTTCTGCTGATTCGACTCGTTGATTCCATGTTTCTCCTAGAGCTCGAGATGCGGAGCGTTCAGGGGAGAGGCCTGTTGCGGTGGCTTGGGTGGACCGGGGAGATTGGGAGGTGCGAGAGTGGGGAGGGCTGGTTGGAGAGCGTCTGAGGCGGGCAGGGGAGAAAGTTGACGGTGGTGGTGGTGGGCGTCGTGTAGGAGGAGGAGGAGGAGGAGGAGGAGGAGGAGGAGGAGCTGTAGCGGGACCAATGGTAGCAGCAGTGTGGAAGTTTCTGTTAGAAGGACGACGCGTGTTGCTGTTGCTATTGCTGTTGTAGAAAGGATTTTCTGACGTGGTCTTGCTGATGCGATTGGGGCTGGTCTTCTGGTGGTGAGGGTGGTAGTTGGTACGAGACGAGGAGCCTGGCGCACCGGCGGAGGATCTTGCTGGGGAAAGCCGCTCTGCAAGGCGAGGACGAGTTCGCGGCGGACTCGGAGGTAGTCTTGATGGGCGCGGTGGAGTGGGCGGCGTGGTAGGTTCGAACTCGTATGGGTTTTTTGCAACGGTGGTTCGAGTGACTTTGCTCTTCCAAGTGCCATCTGGTTGTTCAGTCTTTTTGGTACGAGTGAACAGCATCTCGCCCGGAGACTCAGAGGACCAATTGTACTGGCCTTCGAATGTCGTGCGCATGCGCGGAGGGCTACGTCTGCGCGGTTCGGTATGGTGACCGCCGTAGAGTACGCGCGACGCTCGAGCGGCTTCTTCACGCTCTTCCATCTCCTCAGCATCAGGCATCTCCTCTTCATCATCAGACCAAGCCAAGGCTTCCACAATGGGAAGCCGAGGTCTCTTACTGGGAGACATGGAGGGATAGCGGTCAGTCATCTTGTGCAAAGAGTGTTGCGTTGCGCTCGTGTTTCTGCTGAAGCTTGATGGTTGCTCTTCTGCAACACATACTCATAGGGAGTCACGATAGGCGGGGTGCATGGGCAACGTCAAATTCTTTGATCAAAGTCGCCGGATGCGGAATCTCAAAATTCCATCCCCATTGTGATTTGATTCACTCAATTGCAAAAACTTCCGCATCCGGCCATGTGAGCTCCTTCACCAACAATGGACATCCGCTGCTTTGTCCTCGACCATACAACTCCCCTCGCCCCCAAAAGCCCATCCACAATGCCTTCTCATCCACTTCCTTCTCAGCTCGACGAACAGGCAGAATCATGGCGGACCCCAACGACTACTCCCGCTATTTCAGCAATGCCCAAGACGTCCAGAGGCGCAGACAAGCAGAAGAGGAACTCATCCTTCGCGCTCATCGGCAAGCTCAGGATGAAGCAGAACGACGCAAGATTGAAGAAGCGCACGCCGATCGTTTCCAGCTGAGCGGTAGTGGTCGTCCTCGTCCTGCACCGGGAAGAAAGATGTCATCACCACAGAACTCCGCGGCAGCAAGACATGGGATTCGGAAGTCGAGCAAAGCTACACCTAGACCATCAGATCCCCAGCCGGCGCAACGCACCGAGACTTCGGAGCTGTATGAAAGCTTCATGAGAGCGCGAGCTCAGCGAGGAGGGAGAGCTCGTTTTACTGAGAAAGACTTGAATCTTGCTTCAAACTACGGAACTCGGACTGGCCAAGGGAACTGGAATGGTCCATCGAGGCCGCAGCAGCGGGCCTATCGTCGTCCATCCCCACCGGCTCCAGCGGCCAAAACTTACAGACCAAGTAAGTTCGTCGAGGAGCTGAGCAGCGATAGTGGTGATGATGAAGAGATGCCACCTCCCACTTCAGCTCGCAGTCCACTGTACAACAATGTGTCTCGCACTGATACACGTCCAGCGGCTGCTGCTACTGCTCCAAGGAAGAATGGACTTTTCAGTCTGAATCCTCCAACGCCAAGATCACCAGGCGGGGGACTCTTCGGTAGCAAGTCTCCTACTCGTCCCACTACCAGCTATGGAGAAGGACTGTTCACCAGTAGTTACAGAGCACCACTTGCGGAACCTGCTGCACCATCTGCGAAGCGACGGACACCGCCCCAGCAAGAATACCACGAGGAAGTGGATTTCTCGGGTCTTGACGAGGAGACGATCGAGGCCATTCTGATGAACAGTCGTGCCAAACGCGATGCCCTGGGGGGAAACCGCAGAGCACGTTTTGGTATTCCGTGCTTTCCGAGTCAAGGAAAGAAGAAGAACGCTATGACACGTCCTATGCCAAATCCAAATTACGGTTTCGAAGACGTTGACGAAGATCACTACGCTCGTCCCATAGGTCCCGGGGCTGCTTCTTATGGCATCCAGCGCCGCAACGCGATCCGCCGACCGGGAGCCAACACTGGCGCTTTCGGAGTGGCAGGTCAGTCTCACCTCGCTCGTAGCAATGCGACCCGTCAACCACATGTCAATTCTGGTACACAAGGTCGTGCCGGTGTCTCTGGAGTTCTACGCAACAATGCACGGTATGAACCTTCCACTAACGCTGGCATGTTTGGCACAGCCGGTGTCTCGGGGGTCCAACGACGCAACCGTGTTGACCCCAGGCCGTCCGGAGGTAGATACGGATTTGTCCAAAGGCCAGCAGGAGCCACGCATCAAGCACCTCGTAACCAGGGTGAGCGGGCTGGTGGAGGATTTGGGACTGTCTGGGATGGCAAGGGTCGCAGGCGTAGTGCGAGGAACTTGAGTGGCAAGTGAGATGTCCAATTGTCGGCAAAGGGTAGGGAGAGCAGTCGAGCTACAAGTGGGCGAACTCGTTGAAAGCGGAGGTCATGATTGGGATGTGTATGTTAGTTAATGTTTGGTAATACGTTTCCGTATCTCCTTAAAATGTTCAATCTATTTTGCGGTCAGCATCGAGCCATGGGTATCGTGTTCGTACATGAAGTCGTCGGCTGGTTCTCCAACCATCCTTGGAACCCTTATACCATCTGGGATCAAATCTGTGTCCAGCAACGATGTCACCATTGCATTCTGCAAGTGATCATGGCAGCCACTTCACCACCAGCGTGAGCGTGGTGTAGTCATCGCGTCTCTCTTCACCTGGACCCTCGCTCTCAAGTCCCACTAGCCTCTCGATAGAAACTCAAACTCCGCCCCGCCCCGGCCCCTACGAACACCTCATTCCTCGCGGTAGGACTATGCCACAACCACTTGACGGCCCACAGGCACTTCTCACTCTCCGTCTGTGTAGCGACACATTCCCTCCTCTCAATACTCCAAATCTTAGCTTTGCCATCATAACTCCCACTCAGCAGGTATTCTCCACTGAAGTTCCAATCCAAAGTCATGATCCAGCTGCCATGTCCTGTGAAGTTTGCAACTTGCTCTCCAGATTGCGTGTCATACAGTGCAATGATCCTCGCGTCACCTGCAGCAGCCAAGTATCGGTTTGCTGGGGAGAACTTCACGGATCGGACGGGTTTGATGAGTCCTGAGAGGGAATGTGCGAGACGTTTGGTGGAGTTGTTGAAGATGTAGATGCTGCCGCTCTGGTGGCCCGTTCCAGTCATTTCGCCATTGGGGGAGATATCGATGGACATGCCGAAGGAGCCTTTGGTGGCATAAGTCGTGATCTTCTCTACGGATGCTGCTGCACTCCCATCGGATGTGTCAAGGGAGGAGGTGTCATAGACATTGACACGGCCATCAGAGGTGGTGACAGCAAGGTACTGTCCGTTCTCGTTCAGCGCTGGCGCCCAGTGCTCACCAGCTGCCGTCTTCTTGTCCGAGGGCACGATGGAGCCTTTGGGCTGCCATTGCCCACTTTCGTCATTGTAGTGCCATACTCGTAGATCGCCAGCGAAACCCACACTTGCGGCGACTTTGCCGTCGAGACTGGCACAGATGTGGTGGCAGCCGAGAGGGTGCACTTTGTCGAGTGTCTGCGTGAGTGGATATGGGTTCTCGTCTTCGGTGCTGTCGGCGTGGATGGTCTGCCCGCGGGTGCTGTAAATCTTGATACTGGACGAGCCGGAAGCGGTCAGGAGGTGTGAGGGCGTGACGGCGAGCGAGAAGATGTCGGTGGGATGCGCGTCCGGGATGGTCAGCGTTTGGAGGTATTGCTTCGACTGCGGGCGAAGAAGAAGATGAACGAGTCAGTGGTGGGTCTATACAGGTATCAGGCCGCCATTGACTGTACCATGGTATCAAATTAATGGCGGATTGGAATCACATGCAGTGCAGGACGATGAAGTTGAACAAAGTGAAGATGTATGTACCTTATTGGGCAAGAATACCTGAATGCGGTAGAGGGTACGGCGTCATTTGCATGCGATGCTGCCACGCCATCACCTGCCCACGGAGCAAGACATGTACATGAGATCCACCTGTAATGTATATGGCACCCAGATTACGAGGGAGTTTATGAATGTCTGAATGAGGCGCAATGGAAACAACAGATGCGATAGGTACAGAAGCACTACAGACATGACTAAGGTACGGTACAAATCAAATCGCAAAACCAAGCGTCACCACGTTCCTCTGACTCCCGTCACTTCACTTCTTCGAAATCCTGCCTTTCGCCGCCTTTCTCATGGTCCTCTTTGCCGAGCCACCTGGTTTCGATGGCTTGCGAGCACTGTGTGTCACCCGTGCGCGACGCGGTGCAGGCTTGGCACTTTCAGCGTGGTCTTCTATCAGAGTCTCAACCCCACTCACCACTTCATCGTCCTCCTCACTGACAGACTCCACCGCAGCTGCGAATGAAGGAGCCGCTGCAGATGGGAGCCGAGCATCTGGCATGGATGTCCTACGTCGCTCGTTCTCAGCTGCAGGTTTCGCCAACGGTTTCAGCTGATGAGCTTGAGCTCGAATGGAAAATGGCGACGGTCCGGTTCCACCTCTCTTCAAAAGCGCAGCATATATCTGAGCGTCCGGGGTGTTGGCTCCCGCAGGCCGTGGTGAGTGAGCCATAATCTCACCGAGGTCATCGTCGCCGTCAAGGCTGTCTCCGTCCGTGAACATCTCGAGCTCCGGCCCAAGCATCTTCTCTTGATCAGCACCGAACAACTCATCTATCTCAGCATTGATCGCGTCTTGTACAGCATCGAACAAGTCGTCTAGTTCAGTATCAACCAGATCAAGCTTGAGCTCTCCACCTAGCAGCCCGAAGTGTGTAAGAGGAAACCGTGCATGGATGCTAGGGCGTAAAGAGCGCTGGAACTCTTCTCCTGCACGAGGAGCTCTTCGTCTACGGCTGCGACGACGCAACTCGCCATCAAGAGTCAGAGGCCTGCTTGGATGAGTTCTTCGACTGTCTTGTCCAGGCGGCAACCGTGTTCCATAAGCCCACACGGGTTCCCACCCACTTGTCGCTCTCGGTTTCGGTCGTCGTCGGGGTGGCGGCCGCGATTCAGGTAGTTGATCCATTTCGATCTCTTCAGGCTGCAGCTCGCGCTGCACATCAGGTCCCCATGCCCAAAATCTAGCGCGCGAAGGCCTCTGTGCACCATCTTCCGCATCGGGAGATCCGTGGCGTCCACGTCCAGAAGAACTGTTCTGTGTAGTTCGCCAGGTCTCTTGACGCGGCGGCGTACGCAATCCACCAACGGTGCGAGCATTGCGATTTTGATCTGCCAACCACAATTGCCTAGCAGGGTCGTTCCTTGGATTTTCAGGGGTATAGCGTAGGGGAGAGGCCGAAAGAGAAGAAGAAGCGTGCCCAATGCGAAGAGATGGTGGCAATCCTCGAGGTGGACTGTACATCGGCGGACGTGTAGGACTGATGTTCACATAGTCTGGTAACTCATGCCCTGGTAGTCCAAGGATTCGAGCGACCAGAATTTGTATCGTTGGATCCGCCTGGTAGGACCTTAGGATATGGCTAGGAGAACGTGTTGCTCCCACACGTCTAGCAAGCCAAGCATTGTGCTGGGATGAGAACCAAGCGGGCAAGCCGTGGCTCGTTGTAGGCTCGACATTGCTGTCCAGATAACGAAGCACATGCATGTTATCAGGCCGTATGTGGGCTATGGCCGGTAGTGTAAAATCATCGGCATAGCCTCGAATCGGAATCTGTCCGTCCGGAATATCCAGAAATTCTCCCAAACGATCAACGAATTGTTGCTCGGCCACGGCTATGATTTGATTCCTGCAAGGCTCAGCGTTCCAAAGGAGTCCGATAATCACATGCCCAGCTGCGGTGACGAGTTCGTAGTTGGCTTGATACTGTGCGAGGATGGAGCCAGGTTCTAGGTCGTGTTCCCTCTCGACTGATTCATTGTGAAGTGTGCCGAGAATCCCACGTCTACCCACAGGCAACGGGCTTCCGTTGAAATCGGAGACTTGCCCGCTCATGATGGCGTTTCAACGAGGTAGTATGACTGCGCAGTAGTGGATAATAGGAGAAATGGATTTGCAGGAAGAGTATAATGAGAGGGAAGTCAGTCAGCTCATTCTTTGATCATATCCGGATGCGGCAGTCGATGTGTGGTCTTTGTCAAACCACATTCCTGAGAGCAGAACTGGCGAAGCGACCTTGAGAATACTATTGTCGCCAATTTGATGTCTTCTATATGGACGATTGCGGCGATGTTGTACAGTCCCACTGAGTGTAGGAGTTACCTGACCCGAATGGACCTCTTGGGTTGGAATGTAGCACACTGCTCTAGGCCTTCGTCCCTGCTTTCTTGTCATCGTACAGGTCTTCCCACCTGTACGGCTTTCTGCCTCTTGCTATTCTCTCCTCGTTCAGCTCGTCGAACTTCCTGAGCTCGTCGGCCTCGACTTCTTGCTTTGATTTAAAGCCATTCGCGAACCACTGCTTGATGCCTGCTCATCGGTCAGTCATCACCCAACCTCATGCTCTGCACAGACGACACCACCCACTGTTCACACAATAAGGACACAGCACATGCGCACGTTTCGTCCTCCCACATGCGCTGCACTTGTTCAATGCCGTGACATCCTTCAGAGCCTTTCCCGCCATCTGCCTATGGCGCTTCTTCATGTGACTGGTCTTCTTTTTCGGGACTGCCTTCAATATGCCGTCCCATATGTGCTCCAATAGCGATGGTATGGGCACAAGCACAGCAGGCAGTAAGCTCGCCGCTGCTCGTAGTTGTTGTATCTGGTGTAGAAGAGGTATGCGCCGCACTGCCTGCTCCTGGTGTGGTAATAATCGCGCGCGTACAACCGGCAGAAACGCAGAGAGGAAAGTCGTCGAAGGGGCGCGTATGGTCGCCATTGCGTGTTCGATGATGTTGCTGTTGGCGGTTGATTGCTGTTCCGTGATGCTTCCTCTCTCTCTCTCTCTCTCTCTCTCTCTCTCTCTTCAATGCTCATCCCAGCGGTGGTTCGCGCTTGCCGTCTGGAAATTGCGGCTCTTCCCTTGACGCGCGATTGGCCGCTTCCCCAGCGCCGCGCCGCGCCCCCTGTTATTCGGACCCCTTTGAGCTTGTACGCGGCAGGCACACGCCGCGCAGGCACTTTCTCCAAGTTCCCAAACCACCTGATAATCCCAGGAGCAGTAGCAACTCATCACCCTCGCTCACCTCTTGTCATCTTGCTGTCGCTCGCTGCTCTCCACCACCACCACCACCACCATCTCTCCCACCGCCACCACCACCTCCTCCGATAATCTACATCCTCACACCACCACCACCACCACCACCACCCAGCGACAATGGCCGCCGCAACGATGAACGGGCAGCTACCGCAAAGTGTCTTCCCCAAAAGCCACGTAGGCTTCGACAGCATCACCACCCAGATCGAGAAGAAGCTGCTCAAGCGCGGCTTCCAGTTCAATGTCATCTGCGTCGGTATGTGCTCTCCGGCTGTGCGCCGTCTAGCTACTACTGGCCGATAGTCCCATCGAGCGCATGAGCATGAGCATGAGCGCGACAGACTCTCCAACCGGTCGGCCTGGCTAGCCGGCCATTGGCTCATGACCCCCACGACAACTGACACGAGATGCGCATTCAGGTCAAACTGGACTCGGCAAGTCGACTCTGATCAACACCATCTTCGCGTCACACCTCGTCGACAGCAAGGGGCGTCTTACCCCCAACGAGCCCATCCGCCAGACCACCGAGATCCACCCCGTCGCACATGTCATCGAGGAGAACGGTGTGCGTCTGCGCCTCAACATTGTCGATACTCCCGGCTATGGCGATCTGGTCAATAACGACCGCTGCTGGGATCCTATCGTCAAGTATATCAAAGACCAGCACAGCGCCTATCTGCGAAAGGAGTTGACCGCTCAGCGTGAACGATACATTCAAGATACTCGCATCCACTGCTGCTTGTACTTCATCGCACCAACCGGTCACGCGCTGAAGCCGATTGATATTGTGGTGCTCAAGAAGTTGAGCGAGACGGTCAATGTGGTTCCTGTCATCGCCAAGGCTGATAGTCTCACCTTGGAGGAGAGGCAGTTGTTCAAGGACCGCATAAAGGAGGAGTTTGCATTCCACAACATTCGCATGTACCCCTACGAGAATGAGGAGTACGATTCGGAAGAGGCGGCAATGAACTCTCAGATCAAGGTACATCATCATCTACCCGCTTATGGAGCCCCTTGCTAACTGATACTAGTCGATCATCCCATTTGCGGTTGTCGGCAGTGAGCACAACATCAACGTCAACGGCAAGACTGTTCGTGGCCGCCAAAACCGCTGGGGAACTATCAATGTCGAAGACGAGAAACACTGCGAATTCGTCTACCTCCGCGACTTCCTCACCCGCACCCACCTCCAGGACCTCATCGAGACAACATCCCAGATCCACTACGAGTCATTCCGCGCCAAGCAGCTGCTTGCACTCAAGGAGAGCTCTGCACAGGTGCACGGCGGCGGCAGCCGACCCATCTCTCCATCAGCCGACCGCGAGCTCAGCAGGCAGAGCCAGCGCATGACCATGAACGGGTACTAGACCTTGCTCTTCTCAACCGACCCGCTTGATACCCCTCACTTGGAGCATTTATTAAATACACAAATCCCCCGAGCCGCTTGACTTAATTTGCTGACATGAGTGCTCTCAAGACCTCCGTCGATGTCGAAGGGTCCAATGCCTATGTCATCGCACAATGCTCCGCCTTCAAACCTCACCGGGCCCCCACCCAACACGGCTGGATCGCATGGCACACCGAAACATTCTCGTGGCCCTGCGAGCCAAGGGACTTCCGACCCAGTAAGGATAAACTACTTCGAGAAGAAGTACTGAGTCGACTTTCCTTTCATGTTCTTACAAGGGTTCGGGGAGTTTCGGGAAGCGTGGGAATTCTTGACAATGGCCGCAGAGCCTGCAAGGGAATGGCAGCGGGCATTTGCCCCACACCAATACCTGTGGGCATGTCTCTTTTGTGATGTGTTTTCTGTTTATACAAGAAAGCGTGGAGTATTCTGGATATATTAGCATTGTGTTGGTAGTGCTCGATGAAAATTGAGAAGTTAATTGGTCAGCCCTGCTAGTTTGGGTCTATTCTACAGTACGCGTTGCCACCGGTCTTAACAGGAAAACGAGAGCAATGGGTGTTGACGGTGTCTGATCGATGCTTCACCCTATTTACCTACTGAACAGGTGTTACTCAGTCTCATACTCACTGCGAACTCGACCTCGCACCTGCGACGTCGCTGGAGAGAAATACGAATACATGTGGGACGCAGCTTTTCCACATGAATGGAGCGGTTTGAGAAATGCAGGTGAACCTTTTGTAGGTATTCATCCAAAAACGTGCAGCATCCTGAGCATATACGTTGGCGGCGGCACCATTTCACCATAGAGAACTTTTTTGGTGCTCCCTGGTTTTACTACACTACCTACCGGTAGGCAAGGTAGACTCCGGCACGCCATGACTTATTTCTTTGACCATGTAGCCCTTGAAAGAATCGTCAATGCAGCCTACGATGAAGGATTGCATGGCGTCGCATGAAGGAGAGCTTTGCGCATACTAAGAGATGGGGGAGTTGTTGGAGTAGGTACCTACCTACCTACCTTGAGTATCATGCTTCCGTATCTGAGATTCTTGGATCAGTAGGTGCCTGCATACAGGTAGCTACCTACCTATGTTGGGAGATTTATCATAAGGTAGGTACCTTAGTGATGGTGTTACACAATCCATTTACACTTCAGAATTGCCCGTCTCTCACTTGACTTAAGGTACGTATAGAAAGAACTATTATATCATATCATGTACATATATCCTGTCACAGTACATCTATATATATACTGGACCATTTGAGAAACAGAAGAAACCAGAAATTCAGTTCAACCACATCAATAAGTCCCATTTCGTCTCCTCACAACCCGCTTCCGTCCCGTACTCGGCGGCGTCGTCACCTTCGTCCCCGTCTTCGGCTTCGGCTTCCTCTTAAACTTGGGAAAGATCCTTGCCAACGACCATCTCTTCCTTTTTTTGCTGCCTTCTCCTCCTTCTGCTTGTTCTGGCGAAGTCGTGGGCCTCACAGAGCGAGGACTCGTTCTTGGCCCTACGCCACGGCCCTTGGGCGGCGAAGGGGGGAATTCTCGCCGCATGAGATTCTCAAATTCGGGTCGAGAACCCTCTCCACGGCGATCCGCAGCAGCTCTGTAGTGTTCGTGGAGTGCGCGTGATGGGCGGGGAGATGTTCGTGGCGAAGAACCGGGGCCTCTTTGCGGACGAGGATGAAGGTCAACGTCCAGAGGCTCAGGGTCGGGAAATAAGTCTTGTTGGACTCGGTCGACAATATCCTGTTGAGAATGTTCGAGTCCTTGCATTTCGTCTTGGATATTGATATATTGATCAACGAGCTGGGGACTGGGGTGGCCTGGTAAGCCTACTGGAGCAGCCTCCTCTGGAAGGTATGCCTCTGGCGGCGCAGTGTTGATATTGTTGATAGCTGCCACAGCGTATTGCTGCATTCGGTCGTCGCGCTGAAAGATCCTGAGTAAGGTCGGGATCTCAATACCCGACACTCGTTGCAGCCATTCATAATGCGGTTGTGTAAACCAAGCAACAAGTCCAGAATTGTGATCGCGTGGTTCTGGAAATTGGGCGAGGAAGGCTTTGAGTTCGGCGTGAGCAGTCGCCTCGTCGTAGAACCTTACAAAGTACTCCTTTCTTACTTTGACACGATCCAGGGCCTCCCGAATGCTCGCTCCGCAGGCCTTCTCAGTCCTATTGTGAAACCATATAAGGAGGGCATCATCCAGGCCATCTGCGCGTGGTCCCAAGTTTCTAGTCGGCTCGAGAAGAGCCAAATGAGCAGCGCGAACGAGGTCTGCGCTGCGTTGAAAGACCTCCAGCGCTGTTCCAGGTTGTAGCTGCCTGGTAGTCTCCAGCATGTAGAAGTGTGTAGGCGTGAAGGGACGCGGAACGCATGTCATTGTGTTCGTTGCAAGTCGCTACCACTGCAGGCAACGGGAAAGATAGTGAGTGTGAGGCACCAGAGAGATTCGATGACTACCAGGTAAATCATCTCATTGCTGGTTATGAGGATTCTTTGATCATCGCCGGATGCGGTAAATGTATCTGGGATTTGAGTCTAGCCTTGGTGGTAACGATCCTCGAGGTCAGTGATAGACAAAGGGCTTCCAATCCTGAACGATTCCTTTTTTCATTGTTTTCATCAAATGGCTTCTAGGTATCATGCGGGCCACTTTATCCCATCGGCTCGAATCAAGATGAACATTGAGTGAAACAGCAGAGGCTTACGCAGCAGCATTCCTTTCATCGCAAAATGTCTAATACATAGTAGTCGGTTAATCTTGACAGAGAAAACACACACATACCACTCCAAAAATTTCTCAGCAAGTCCATCCCAACATATTGGCCTCACATTCCATCGGTGTCCACATTTCCTCATATCCCCGCGAATAGCTCATGAATTTTCTGATTCAGCACGGCAGTAGCTCTCTTCTGTTCGTCCCTGAACTCAGCCCGCTCAGTCTCTGCCAGAGCTTCAATCTCTTTCTTCTCTTTCTCGAATGTTTTCATCTGCTTCTCGAATTCTTTAGCAGCTTTCTTCCTATCACTAGCATCATCGTTGATCTCTTGTCTCAGGCCAGCTATTTCTTCACCAATCGCGTCTAAGTCTTGCTTCAACTGTTGATGCTTCGCTTCCTGTGCTTTGCGTTGCTTGAAAATGTTGTCTTTGAGGTCGCCGACGCGTACATGGTTTATGCTGACATCCCCGCCAGGATTCCTGAAGTGAAGTGAGACGCGGCTATCGGGGAACGGCTGATCCAGGTCTTCTATCCGCTTGGCGAGTCTGGCGAAGTCTTCTGTGCTTGCAAAGCCTGGCTTGTTGAGTGGCTTGCCAGTCTTGTAGTCGATATCTAGGCGAACTGCTTCCCGCTGTCTGTGCTGATCTTTCAACTTCGTGGTCCAGGAATTCGTGATCCCCTCGATGTATGGTTTGATTATCCCTGTGTCGGATCAGAAGTATTCGCCACGCTGAAGTCATATATACTAGCCAGCAATCCCGAAGCTCAGCGCTTTCTGTTTCTGTTCGTGGCGCCGGGCATGCCTTGATACTTTGTCCATATCTGGTGAGGATGCTTCCTTCTCGGCACTGTCTCGAGCGCGCGCCTCCTCGTGCAGGCGTGTAAAGAAGCCAGTCTTGCCGACCGGTGGCCTGCCAATGCCTGCAAACTTGGGCGAGAGGATACTGCGTGCTTCGTCGGCATTCTTGCGCTTTTCACCCATGCACTGGGCATAGCCAAAGATGCCACCATTGATCTCACGGGGCTTCTTGTGCTTCAGCGGTGCCGTGGTCTTCTTGTGCAATATGTTTTCTTTGTCGGCGCCAACGTGCTTAGAAGGGCGCGTGCCTCTGATACGATTGCCTGCCACTGCTTTCATCTTGAAATGGGCGTGCGGTGAGTAGAAAGACGGGAGTTGGGGCGCGGAGTGTATGGTCTCAGTGGGATGGAAGATGCGAGAGAGCTGCGGCGAGGGAAAGGTCAAGGTGATATGAGCGGGGCCCGAGGTCTTCGTCGCGGGAGAGGCAGGCACGACCTACTTCCAACAGTTTGAGGCAAGCACATCGCGTCGTTTGGCGTTTGCAGCTCTGAGAGGCAGATATGCGTCAAGTGGGTACAGGTAGCTTACATCCAATGAGGTGTGTATGTACTGAGTGGGTATCGTGGTGTGTTTTGCGTCTGTGTCTGCTGCTTCTGCGGCTGTCCTTATGAGCTGCTGCTCCCATCACTCTCGCCCTCTGCCGGCACAAGCACATCCTGCTCCTCGAGCAGCTTCGCTAAGCTGCCGTCCTGATGCATCGACATCATGATATCCGTGCCACCCACAAATTCCTTGTTGACGTACAGCTGCGGTATCGTGGGCCATTCCGAGTACTCCTTGATTCCTGCATCGACCATCAGCCTTGGTTTGTCCTTGTCCATACGTGCATTCACTCACCTGCTCTCAATTCCTCGTCCTCCAAAACATTGAACGCGGTGAACTTTTCTGGGTTCACGCCTTGCAGACCCAGAATCTGGATGCTGGCTCTTGAGAAGCCACACTGCGGAGTCTCGGGCGTACCCTTCATAAACAGCACGACGGGCGCAGAAGCAACCGCCTTGTCAATTGCCTGCCGCGTTTCTGTTGATAGGAATGATTTCTGGAGTTGGGCGAAGCGTGGCGAGAGGAGTGGATTGCGTCGAGGGCGAAGAGCCTGTCCGGCGAGCTGTATATACTGTGAGTGCTGGTACTTGATTTTTGATAGGACATGATGAATTATATACTGCCGAGAATGCCGTCCTTGAGAACATGATGGTGGTGGTCGTGGTGATAGAGAATTGTCCTTGCGATGGAGTTCAACAAAGTGCTGTAAGCTTCAGTCTGCTTCACCATGTTTTCACACACGTGTAGGTACAGGCCACCGAAGATGACGCAGGGATGTAATCTCGAAATCTCGAATCTGACTAATGGCATATGCCTAAGCACTGCTTCGCTGAGATATGCCACATTCCCTTCCATTTTGGATCCAGTCTTTACAATGTCTTCGATAACAAGAAAATATAGTGAATCCTCATCATGGCATGGGAAGAAACAGACAAAGCTCTCGCCGAGATCCTGAGAAAACTCCCTCAAGCACTAACCATCGGCATCTTCACCACCACCGCATACTTCATCCTCAAGAACCTCGACTTTTTCCAAGATAAACGCATAACCTCCAACCAACCAAGCAAATCCAGTATCCCAACAACCCAACCTCCAAGCTCCAGCCCAACAGCAAAACAAGAAACCCCCCACCTCCCCCCGATCCCCCCAATCCTCACATCCTCCCACCACCACCACGACAAAACCCACCACCTCCTCCTCGCAGCCACCGGCTCCGTAGCAACCATCAAACTCCCCCAAATCATCCTCTCCCTATCGCACCACACCAACCTCTCCATCCGCCTAATCCTCACCAAATCCTCCATCGAATTCCTACGCGGCCAAGCCTCCGAACAACCGACTCTAGCCCAAATTTTCGAATTTCCCAACGTAGAAGCAATCTACGTGGATGAAGATGAATGGCGACGACCGTGGACACGAGGGGCGTCGATTTTACATATTGAATTGCGCAAATGGGCGGATTTGATGGTAATTGCTCCTTTGTCGGCGAATGCGCTGGCAAAGGTGGCGTTGGGGATGAGTGATAATTTGGTGTATTCGGTGGTGAGGGCGTGGGATACGACGGGGTTGATTGATGAGGCGAGGCCGGGGGTGGAATTACCTTGTTTTTCTGCGTGTGGTGGTGTTGATGATGCTGATGGGGAAAAGGTGAGGAAAAAAGGAATTATTGTGGCGCCTGCGATGAATACTGCCATGTGGAATCATCCTGTTACGAAAAGACATTTGGATGTACTGGAGGGGGAGTGGAATGTGGCGAATGGAGGATGGATGGAGGTTTTGGGCCCTATTGATAAAGGCTTGGCTTGTGGGGACAAGGGCGGAGGAGGGATGAGGGAGTGGAAGGAGATTGTAGAGGTCATAGAGAAGAGGATGGGGCTTTCAGGTGGTCATAGGGAGGTGGCCACATGATAAGAAGCCGAAGTGACTGTTGCTTCCCGATGCCGAAGAGTGAGAAGGACGACGAGCATGTCTTTCAGCAAAAATTCTTCATTTCATCATATCTGCATAAGTGAGCGTGCTGTGAGGCTCTCATTCCAACCTAGCGGTCGATGGGTATTTCGCTAATGAACGCAGCAAGTAAGCGAGCGAGTGCGCGCATCCACAATGGATGTTTCTTATCCTGTGGGCCATCTGTTGACGTAAAGAGATACGAAATGCAATCATCGTCTGCGATCAAATTCGCCACCGGAAGGCCTCACTTTCGCCAGTCGATCTGGAAGGGTGCATGGCACTATCCGGTCTCTGCACAAGATGTGCAAACTGTGGATTCACACCCATCGGGCTGCTGATCTCCATCTCACGGTGCTCGATGTTGATGGGGAGCGGCGGCGCAAGGCTCTGTCGACTCTGCCTGCCGAACATGCCAAAGACCTTCTTTTTGGTGCAGACTGTAGCACGAGAGTACTTGCTTTCTGGCGAGCGCGGCGCATCACCGGTGGTGTGACACACCGACGGAGATGCTGCCGCAGCGGCGGTGCGATACGACGGCAAACCCGACTCGCGACGATCTGGATTCAGGAAATTGAATCGGTGGGGAGTGGTCTTGGTTGGCGATGGTGTGATCGGGTTTGGGATGTATGACTGCGCAAGGACAGGTGCTGGTGGTGTGCGAGAGCCGCACGAGTCGGTCGAGATAGATTTAGGTGTCTTGTGAATCGCGACGGCACCATGAGAGCGCACCATGCGTGCTGTGATGCTTTGCTTTGTGTCACGGAAGATGTAGCTAGCCAGCAGATTGATCCATCCGAGGGTGAAGACAAGAATGCCAGAAGCAATTACAATCCGCCAAAAAGGCATGCCAAGCGCCTGCTGACTTCCAGCAGACTTATTGAGGTTGCCCATGACTTGGATGCCAATCACGATCATGGCGACTGCAAGGGTCACGAAGCCACGTGAAGGACTGAGGAGTGGCCAGTTGCGGGCGAAGTAGCCCTTGAAGATCGGAAGCTCAGAGGTGATGAGGAATACTGCAATGGTCAGCCTGATGTCGATTGTGCTAAGGAACTGGGCACTCACAGCTTGAGATGAGCGTGATGACATGGCTAAGCGCGTCGAAGAAGAACAGGTGGGTGTCTGTGTTCGTCTTGACCAGCATCACAACGCTGGCGGTGATGACAGCAAGAAAGGCGATGATATTCATAGCGCGTATGCCGTTCAGGATAATATACCCGGCGCCTGAGAGTGTTTTGGGCGAGAGAGTCATCTTGCTGGCCTTCTTTTCAGACTTTGTCTGTTTGAGCTTCGCGAATAGTTCTTCTATGCGGTCGGCTTCAAAGGGCAGATAGACGAGCCTGTGTCAGATCAGCTATGGGCATCCAAAGACTACTTTACCAATTGCCATACTTCTCGGTCGGATAGAGGCGCAGAAACATGTGCCGTGGGTGTGGAGGTTTCTGATTAGTCGTATCGGCTGGCCTGCAACCTGTTGGTAGTGGTAAAAGGTATGCTGACAAGCGGTATCTTGGGAGGGATCTGATCGACCGGCGAAGAGGTCTGAAGAAGAGTGTGGATATGTCGAGGAAGAAATGAAGACGAGCGAAGGAAAAGAGAAAAGGCAATAGCCTGTCGAAGGCAATAGAGCACTTCTCGTGGAAGAATGGAATGGACAATAGAATGTGCCTGACAATACCTGAAAGTGAACACACAATGGGCTTGGGCTTCACTTGAGCAGATGTGTAGATGCTCGGACCAGAATCGCGTGGGTCGTTCCTATTGTCGCGAGACTGGGAAATGCCATGAATAGGCGCGCACTATGGGATCCACATAGTCGTGGCCGTTTCGTCCAGAGAGTGAAATGCATCAAGAGCGCCAGTTCTTGGTGAAGATGAAACACTGTACTTGGAGCTCACTTTGGGCGGTTTTGCAGACAAGAGTTGCGGGAGACGATAGTTACGCGAGCCGTCCGACGGTTGCACAGAGCGTTTACAGCTCATACAGTAGTCGGTAGATGTCGTCCACTGCGTCCAGCGTGAGTTTCCTGTAGTACGGGCGCCACGGTTGGCTGGTATTGTTCCAGCGTGTATGCATAGTGCGGCTAATTCCTGGAGCAAATTCGACGGCGTTGGTTTGGTTGGTGAGTGTTGCTCGTTCTCGAAGCGCCGCTTGTGGTTGTTTCAGCGTGTCGCGTTCTACCTCCTACCTTAGTGGGCGTCTCGCGAGACTGCACAGCAGCAGAATGCCATTGCCGCGGTTTCATCGCGTGCTTGTGCTTCACAATTTCGACTTCAAGACATGAGGAAACTTCATAATGGACACCCGCTGGCGTGTTGGTGAGACGGCTGGCGGTGGTGGTGGTGGTGATGTTGTGTCGAAGAGTGAGTTGTAGAGAGAAAGAAAGAGAAGGATAGCGACAAACGCGAGAATGACGCGAAATGAGATGAGGACGAGGCTTGGCACGGAACTCGGGAAATCTTCAAGGTTCTCCCTCGCGCAACAACATCGCCTCCAGCTACATAATCCACGCACATCTGGAGTGGTATAAAGTCGACAACCGAGATAGTACCAGAACTACCTAGCCGTGTCCGTCTCCGACTAAGAACTTCCACCAAGCATAAGCTAAGTACAATGGCAAGCATCGGGACCACATCCACTCGGGCCACACGGATTAATACTTCCACCCGGTACGCAGCGACCTCGCCCAGCCAGCACCCAACCCGGACTGCACAGAGACCTTGCCTATGTACGAGTCGTAGTCTTCATGTGTTGAGCTGTGCGGAGCGGAGGGGGCTACTTCTATCGAGCGTCAATTGAAGTGGTCCCGAGATGTCGACAAGTCGAACGCAGCTCTTTTCAGGGAAAACCAGGGTCGCTGCTCCACGGAACCACCTCCGTGATGCACCCAAGGACTTCGCAAGGGAGATCGAGAAAGTGGATAAGAAGTCATCTGCTGCGTTCAAGTAAGTGGGCGCCATGACTGGGCCAAGGGGGCGTCTTTCAATCCAAGGACCATCTGATAGTGCTGCTGTACGAGACATCCTCGTGCACCTCTCGATGTCGGGACTGAACAGAGAAACGCAACTGAGACATTTGGGCTCTCATACTGGATGCTGAAGGCATCACGACGAGCTGACCATGCCTGCCGTTGGTCACAACTCCTCTAATCAATTGGCGCGATGTGAGTGCAAAGCGATCTTTGGCCACGCGGTGGCAGGAGCAGCTAAGGGCAGATCAATGTTTCCAATCTTTCCCCAGTCAATGGGAATTCAAGCAAGCATGCTCGGAGCACCTCGGTCGTTGGCTTCGTGATTTCATAACAAGAATATTGCAACCCTATGTGCTTTCAGGTGTTCTTGCGCAGCTGCTTATACGGCGTCCTTTGATATCCGATCAGAACATGGTTCAGGTGGGCTATCCACGCCAATAGGATTATTTCTGGCTTCTGATTACGATCTTGACCACTGGAAGATCTAATTCACAGTATTTATAAATGAACGCTATGCAGATCGTTTCATTCACCTCCACTATTGGGATTCTACACCAATAGCGTCCGGAAGCTTGCTTACAACAACAGCAACCCTAACACATACAATTCTCCTACAGTGCGACAGCACAATCGGACAGGGCAGATATTCGACAAATTCTTGCTACTTCCAGGAATCGCGCCTGATACGAGGGAAAACGAGTCTATTATGACACCCGCAAGCCCCGGCTTACATCTGTAAGCTGCGCCCTCAAATTCCTCGTATTAATCCTGACATTGCACCAGACCTGACAGAATGAGGCATTACTAAGTTGCACAAACGTCTATTAAACAGATGCCTGGACGCAAGTATTAGCTCTCCGCACCCAACTTGAAGCAACCGATCGCCAAGACCCAACCACATACCGAACTCAATCCTGCAATTATGCGCTTCTCAACCGCAACACTCTGCTTCCTGTTCTCCGGCAGTATCTGTACTGCTGCGCCACGAGCCCAAATTCTCCCCAGAAGCAACGAACGCGACAGTCTCTTTCGACGTGTACCCGATATTGGAAGTTGTGTCCAGGACAGCTGTGGAAACGCTGGTTCTAGGCAAGGCTCGGAATGTACAACAGTTTGCGTGAGTTTTCGCCGTACTTCCTGGTCTTCTGGGGTCATGAAGATACTGACGCGACATCCAGAGCGGCATTCTCACCACTGGAACATGTGATTTCACGGGAGGTCCGCTGGGCATCTTTTATTGCCTTATTACATGAATGTCGCCAGTGCGAGGTACAAATTAGCTGGACTCTTTATTTTGTCGTACGGATTAACCAATGCTAGGCAAGGTTTATGGTTGGTTGGTTGTGAAGGCAAGGCTCTGCTCATCTCAGCCGAGTCGTTAGCGCGCACGGGATGAAAAGAAGCAAGACAGATTACCTAGGTACCTAGGTATCTATGAAAACACACACTCCTTCGGAAACATGTGCTATGTACACACCATCTATCATAACAACTGATACCACTCCCACACCCACTGACTCAACCTCACACTCGGCCGATCAAACACCTTCGTCCCCATTTCCGCAACAAAAAACATCACGGGGAGAGTCAACATCAAATTCAAGATAATCCCCGGCGTCAATCCCTGAGGTCCCACACTTGCGGGAAAATAGTCGTGCCACGCGCCTACTGCGATGCGATCAAAGGGCCAATTCGCATCGGGTCCTCCGAGATGAGAATATCCGCAGAGGATGAAGATTATACGCGAAAATGTTGCGCCGACGACGAGGTGGGTGAGGTAGAGGGAGAAGGAATGTCTTCCGAGATCTGTATGTGTGTTTCTCTAGTTGTTAGCGGAAGGTAATTTAGCTTAATTTGTAGGAGGGCTCGGGTTAAGAGAGGCTCTCTCTCTCTCTAGGTAGTTTTGCAAGAGCACCCATTTTTTGGGGCTGTTTCCTCTCTCTCTCTCTCTGCTATTTGTCTGTCGTTCCACTTACACTGTGCGAAATTTGTCTCGAAGAGGCTTTTGGCCCATTTGACTTCTTTGATTGATATTCCGAGTAAGCAGGCGCCCCAGAAGTACCTGAACGAGAAAAGATTGGTCAGCAAGAGCGTCTTTTCCGTTTCGCATACTACTAGAAACGATACTTCGAAAAAAGGCACAACTGACCAGAAATCGCGATATTCAAGAGTCGGCCAGTTCTGCCAATAATGGTACGGAACAATATTGAATAGCGTCTCTGGCCACGCACAGCGCTCAATCGCCTCTTTCGCCGACGGTCCTTTGAGCATCGGCGTGGAAGCAAATAGCAGACCCAGAATGATCCCTGCATTCAGCACGAGGGCATGTAGACGTTTGTGCTGGGCAAGATAGTGGGAAATTTTCGTCCAGGGGAGCCAGATGTGCGTGAGTTCACCTGAAGCGTTTAGAAGGTCGAGTTCGCATGAGAGCATGCCGACGAAGAAGGCGGCGAACCAGGAGCCTTTTTGTTTTCAATTTTTTGTTTTCTTTTGATCAGCCATACCATCTCTCACACAGGGATGCGCGAATGTATCTATGAGGTACTGTACTTACCCAAACCGAATAAGACAAGAAAAAAACTCAATGCAAGCGTGAGCAATATCCTTCTCTGCGGACGGAGTCGATGAACCACAAACAGCCATGCGAAAATGGCCATGCTACCTTTCAATTCGACCACAATAGTCCACGTGACAGGGTTGTACCGCATGGCAAAGGCAGTGAAATAGTTGAGAGTGTGCAGACAATCCAATATCCACCAGAGAAATTCCACAAAAATATTACTGGCGCGGCCACCGGACCAGTTCTCCTCGAATCCGGTAATGTGATAGAATACGATGATGAGCAGAGCGCTGAAAAATGCTGGCATGAGGAGACGGACGTGTCTGCGGATTATGGCCGATTGTAGTGCTTCCATGTACTCGGTTTGTCGCCCTTCGTGTAGCATTTGGATCATTCTTCGTGGGACGACGAACCCTATAAAACACAAAATGAAAAAAATCGAATTAGAAAGCCCTTTTCATCAAAGAAAACGAATTCAAACCCATGACAGGCACATCTCTAACCAACAAGCAACCCCACCCCCCCGCCTCTCCAAGAGAAAATAAAAGAGAAAATAAAAAAACTTACCAGAAATATAAAAAAACACCATCACAGCAAACGAGCCTCCAGAAAACAACAATCGCACCACAGGCCAATACGCCAGCGACCTCGTCTCATCATCATGGCCATAACCATAACATCGATGCAACCCCATATTCACCATAGCATGTTCATGCTGCAGCACCACCAACAAAGCCGCCACGCCTCGCAGCCCGTCGAGCCAAGAAGTTTCGTGGAGGACTTGCGGAGGAGAATGCACAATGAGACATTCTGGTAAAAGGAAATGGCCGATTGTGGAGAGGGAGGTTTGGAGGGTTGGGAGGATGAGGGTGGTAGTGGACTTGCGGGGAGGATTGTTGGGGGGTTTTTCGGTGCGCTCGTTGGGGGAGGAGGGGAGGAGGGAGGAGGAGGACATGGTTGGTGGGTTTGGTGGTGTTGCTTCTTGGAGGAGGAGGGGGTGGAGGATGGGGTGGAAAATTGCATGCTCTTGGATATAGATGGAGAAGGTCTCTTGTGTGTTGCGGCGGATTTCTCGCACGTTTCGTGGTAGCGAAGGTGATGTCGCTTTTTTTTCTTCCCTTTCCCCCCAGAGAGTAGTCCCTCCGACCTCAAAATCGCATCCAGCGACTGTCGAGCACGAATGCCATGAATGCCTTCTTCTTTGTCACACTTCTTGCCAAGATTTGGTTGCGCGACGATGAAGTTAAAGTATGCCTCGGGTGGCGCTGGATTGGATTGACTACCTCCTAAAGTTAGGGCGTATGCTAGCATGTGCTAGACATGGGTTGGAAATTATCGTATATAGTGAGGTATATGTATATATCAACATACGATTTCGTGTCCTACAAATGATCTGCTTTATCACCAAATCCGAAGAGGTGAAGTTGACCCAAACGCACCTGGTAGGCTGGTACCACCAACACATACCTGGGGATGTTCCAACCGAATCATGACTAATCCCCCAGCCCCCACGAAATGCACAAAAATAAACGCACTTTCACTCCCTGCCTGTTACGAGAAGCCTCCAGAAGGGCACGTGACCGGCCCCACCCGGTCACGTGCCGGGACCATGTATATTAGCTCCTACCCTCACTTAGATAAAAAATCATCTACTTGACGACTTCACAACAACATGGTAGCATCGGTCAAAACGTCCGACCAACCTCAACCAGCCTAGACACGGGCACCAGCCATTGAGCACCAGTCCGCGGACGTAAAAGAAGCCCACCCACCACCCAAGAAGTCGACAACAGCGCATATCGAACCTTCGGCCAGACCAGGTCAAGTTGATCCAACAGTTCGCCCTGTTCATCCGAAATACTCCACGAGCGGGCCCAGCGATACTCAAGGCACGTCTGCAGTCGTAGCCAAAGGACACTACATGTACATAACTGTCTCATACATATATCTCCGCGAAACCTCCCTCCATCTCTCTATACGCCAATCATATCTTCAACGCCCTGGTCATATCCTAGTCCTTCAGAGCGCAAGGCGGATTTTGCGACAAAGTCCACTACCACCATCGTATTATTGAGATTCGCGCGCGGGATCCAACTCTGTTGCTGGGGTTATGTAGTTGGCTGGCGGAGATCGAGGTTCTTGAACGTCTCTGGGGAGAGACTGGTGCTTAGATAGCTGGTGCCTACGCGTAGGCTAGTGGAGGGAAGGAAGTCTCTTCCGATGCTACCATTTTGTTATGAGAGAGAGTCAAAGATGAAGATCAAAATGTAATACCTACATATACAGTATCGCTTAGTCATGTGTAAGTCATAGTCATGGGGCTCCCCTTCCCCGCCAGGCCACCAGGGGAGCCACGCAGGAGGTAGCAACCCCTTCCCTTTGCTGCTTCCGTGACAAGGTACCATTTGTCCATTTGTTATGACGAAGCCATCATCCATGAACACCGAGCAATGTTGGACATCTGGCCTCTCCCCTCCGTACATGAGTGACGGCTCGGGGTTGGGCGGTGGAATAGCCCCCAATGCAATGTGCATTAGTTCCGTCATGGTAAACGATGCGAACCGTTCACCTTAGGGCATCCTCGTCGGCTGGAACTGCCCTATCCCTGGTACCGAAAATGCCAGCAGGTATCGGTCGTTAGGGTATATCGGAACTGACTAGTACGCGTATTTGATATCAAACTGGAAGTACAATTTGTGAGAAGGATTGGACAGAAAGTCTGAATATACCGCTTCTTGGTTATGCATCCAGTTCCCTGGTTGATCTTCGTATACCCAATAGTAATCGAATACCAACCGTGGCTGCTCTTGTCCCTCACGGGGTACAATCATGGGCGCTGCGTTCCACTCGGACAACTTGCCATTGAGAAAGGAAAAAGTAGTGAGTCCATCCTTTTCACGTCTCTTTTTTGGCTACACAGTCAAGCAGTCCTTTCCCTTTTCCCTTTCTCTTTCCCTCACTACTACAATCTCCTCTCACTCCTCGATTATTGCAGCATCTGCAACGAGAATCCCACAGTGGTCATCTTCGCCCCAGAGACAATTGCAATGCAAGCTTCGCTAATTACGTTTCTTCCCTTTCTGCTCCTCGACTACCAAAAATTTCGTTGAACAAATAGTTCCACCATTCGTTAAACCAATCTGTCCAATTGCTTTGAATCGTCTCATTGTCCTCTGGCTCAGATCTCTGGGCTATCTCTTTCTGCTCACTTTCCTGCTTCTTCTTCGTCTTCTTCGTCTTCTTCAAGATTTTGAGCAGCTGGAACGGGGATGATCAACTCGCTTGAAGGGGGAGCCGCGACTTGTGGTCTGTTGTCATCCAAGATTGGCGTCCTGGCTGAAGTCGAAGTGAGAAGAATGCCGTGAGAGTGATTGGAGGTCTTCGAGGCAGTCGATATGGCGCGGCGCCTTGGTGTGGAAGAGAGGGAGAAGAAGATGGGCGCTTTTGTTGTTTCCCGCGTGGCTGGAACAAGACTTCTTCATCATCATCATCTTCTTCTTCTTCTTTTCCTGGTGAGGATGGCGGTCGAGGTGGGGGCTCCAAGGAGGGTTCGGTCGCCTTCACGGACGACATGGGTGCGAATTCGCTGCGTGAGGTGGGGAGATGCGCGAGCGCGTCTGTGTCGTGATGGCCGTGAGTAGAACAAGCGGCGGAGGCGGTGGCTGCTGCTATGTTGTGGTTGTGCCGATGCGACAGCGTCTCGAACATTCTTGAGCGACCTCGCGTGGTGTCGACTTCTACCCCTTCCCCCCTCTCCCCCTCCTCTTCTTCAGTGGCCTTACTATATAGTCAGTGGCAATCTGCAAAGTCAGTGGATCAATTGCGTGCGTATTTGGTGGAAGCTTGAAAATGAAATTGTTGTTGTTGTTCTTCAGTCATTTTCACATTATGCGCGCTCGCTCGCTCGCTCAAACGCTGCAAGTTCTGCCTTCAGGTGTGTACTCAAAACACAGCCAGCATCTTCAACTCGCGAAGATAGCGAATGTGGCTTTCAACTCCGCATAGCAGAGTGTTCGTCTCAGTGATTCCGCTCGGGGCTACCTTGTGCTGTCAGAGCAGCTAGGTGTCACCTCCTATCCATTCTCATCAGAACACTGCGACCCTAGCGGAGAGATAGGATCGTCGCAGCAGCAAGGCAGATGAGCACAATGACAATCTTGACAATCTGTAAGCGGCGCTGGACCTGGGCTGCATACAATTCGCCCAACTTCTGGACCTCAGTCGCAGTGTACATCTTCTCTCCGTTTTTGTCCGTCTTTGGCACGTCAGTCTGTGCAGTTTTTGGCAGCATGGGACTCATGCTGGATTGGTGGTGAGCGCGGGGAGACGTAGCCTGTCTCTTAGGTGGGAAGTCCGTATCACCCTCCTAGGATGTCGCCTTGATGTCGCCCTTGTTGACAATAAAGGCCTCAATAGCTGATACGGCGGCCCATAGCCTGTTCTCCGCTTCTGGAAATACGAGTGATGCTGGGGAGTAGAAGACTTCATCGGCAACTTCCTCCTGATGGCGGGGGAGACAATGCATGAAGCGCCAGTCTTGCTTGGCTCCTCCACGGACAGCAAGATCCTTGGTGATTTGAAAACCGGCGAAATCTGCCAGTCTCTTCTTGGTCTCTGCTTCCTGTCCCATGCTGACCCAGGTATCTGTGACGAGGATGTCTGCGTTCTTGACTGCCTCTTCTGGCACGTTGGTCTCGGTGAGCTTGAATGCAGGATTGGTGCTCTTGATGATGTCGCGCATGAACGATGGGATCTCGTAGCCCTTTGGTGTGGCCACGCTTACTTCTACGCCCAACTTGGCAGCGCCAATGGCCAAATCGAACAGGACATTGTTGGCATCGCCGATCCAGGCGATTTTCAAGCCCTCGAGTCCCAAGCTCTCCTGGTTCCAGCTCTTGCTCTTTGCGCTGAAGGCTTCTACAATGGTCTGGAAGTCGGCAATGGTCTGGAGGGGGTGGTAGAGGTCCGACAGCGCATTGATGACCGGCTTGCTGCTGTGCTTGGCCAGGTCGGCCACGTCGTCATGCGCATTGACTCGGGCGACAATGCCCGACACCATGCTGCTGATGACCACGGAGGTGTCGTAGAGCGACTCATTCACTCCGAGCTGGATGTCGTTGGCGCCCAGGAACATGGGCTGGCCGCCGAGCATGGTGACCGCGCCCTCGGTCGACACGCGGGTGCGGGTCGACCGCTTGGTGAACATCAGGGCAATTGTCTGGGCAGACAACTTGCCCTGGAGGTGCGCGGGCACCACGCCCGACTTGACGCTCGCCTTGTACTTCGAGGCGTTGCGCACCAGCGCGGTCAGCTCCTGTGGAGCGAGCTCGCTGATGGAGAGGAAGTGTCTCGGGGCGAAGGGGGAGACGGCGGGGCGGGCGGACGTGCTGCTCATGCGCGTGGTGGGCTTGAGGGCGCGGAGAGCGGAGGCGCGGAAGGCTCGCGTGGTGGTCGCCATCTGTGCTGCTCGAGGTGGTGACGGTGGAGGAAGTGAAGTTTGGAAGTTTTCAGAAAAATATAGAGCTCCCCAGGGTCCGGGTCTATCCACCTCACAGTCACACTAAAATTCACTGCTCGGCTGACTACTCCACCCCTCACATGGCCGGATGTCGGAAGACCCCGCCCGTGCCAATCGCCGGACTCGACTAGGTACTGCAGCCTATCGCTATCGTCAGGCACCTCAGGCACCAGCTGTGCTAGTAGGTACCTGTAGTGGTACCTCCATGTACACGCCATGTAGTAGGTGTGCTGCGGTCATTGATCTACCGTGACTATGTAAAACGACATCCCACACTCACGACCGCACTACTCACCTGTGTATACATTGTCACTTGACACGGCCAGTGCAGCCTGGCCGTGCCGTTGTTTCCTTTGTCTCGTTGTGCATCCTCGACTGTATATCCACGACCCTGGCTTCAGCAGCTGTTGCGTCGAGACGTGAGGAACGAAGGCGACGGGACTAGCAGACCGATTGGCGGTGCGACACGACACGGCGACGACGACGGCGACGGCGCGACACCAACGACAATATGGCGGACGGCAGGCGAGCGGAAGACGGCCAGCGAGATGTCGAGGCCTCAGAGAGCACACCGCTGCTGGGCGCCGGACAGGCCGAGCATGCCGACCAAAGTCGACCGCAAGACGAGACCTCGGCGACATCCTTACTACGCGACATCCAGAGCAGCGGTCGCAAGAAGCGACGATGGCCCAGCATAGTCGCACTCTTGGCACTGTGCGTAGTGGCGGCGCTGATCATCATCTTCGCGTTTGTTGCGCCAGCTGCAGTGGAGCAGTATGCTGCCGAAGCCATTGTCTTCGAACCGACGAGCCTTTCCATCGACTCCTTTACGTCTACCGGAGTGCGTGCTCGAGTACAGGGCAACTTCAAGCTGGACTCGACAAGAGTGAGCACAGCATCCGTGCGGAGGCTGGGGAAGTTATGTACATACATTGCAGAGGAGGTTGAGACCGGCCGTGGAACCATGGCGGTCTCGCTGCCAGAGTACGGCAACGTGCTGCTAGGCACCGCACAGATTCCTCCTATCAAAGCATATATTCGGGATCAGCACATCACGGGCATCGACTTTCTGACGGATCTTGCGCCTGGAGATATCGAAGGGATTAGGCGGATTGCCAACGACTGGATCGATGGCCGTCTTGGTTCCCTGAGGGTGGTGGGCCGAGCACAAGTGCCCTTGAAGAGCGGCCTGATCCATCTCGGGCAGCAAATAGTGCAGCAAGAGATGACTTTCGACAACGACGATATTCCGGCCATTCCTGCATATGACATTAAGAAGCTCAACTTCCGCGAGGTGGACATTCCAGGTGGTAAGGGAATGGCTGCGGACGTGTCGGTCAAAGTCCAGAATGGCTTTCCCGTCGACTTCACCATCCCACCTCTGAGCTTCGGCGTTCTGGTAGACAACTGCGAGAAAAGTGATCCCTACATCATGCTCGCTCAGGCAATCACTGAGCGGATCCATATCCAGCCAAAGATGGCTGTCGTGGCAAATGCAACAGGGACTGTGCATCAACTACCAGCCGTCCTGACACAAGACTGTCCAGGCACGTCCAAATCGCCATTGGACATATTCTTAGGACGATACATCCACGGCGAGACGAACACCGTGTACGTACGTGGATCCGACTCGCCCGACCTCGACACACCTGGCTGGATCACGGACCTGATGCGGGACATTACCGTGCCTGTGCCTATCCCAGGCCGTAGTTTCGGCCACTTGATCAAGAACTTCTCTCTCACAGATACACACTTCAGCTTGCCGAACCCGTGGGCAGAGCCAAACACTCCCGCGGCCAATCCACGAATCAGCGCCAAAGTTCGTGCTTTGGTCGCTCTACCAGAAGAGATGAACTTCAGCATAGACGTCAATAAGGTCCGAGCGGACGCAGACGTATTCTACAAGGGCAAGAAACTTGGCCTGCTCGACTTGAGCAAATGGCAAGCTGCAAACAGCACGCGCATCGAGGCCGGAAAGGAAGATGGGCCGATGCTCATGGTGGAAAGTGCCGTAGAAGATGCGCCGCTGGAGATCCAAGACGAAGACGTGTTTACCGATGTCATCCAGGCGCTCATGTTTGGCAGCAAGACAGTCGTCATGTCCATCAAAGCCGAGGTGGACGTGGGCGTGGATACTGCCCTGGGCGATTTTGCGATACGGAAGATACCCGCTGAAGGCTCGGTGCCCATCAAGCGTAGGTCTTAATCGCCTCTCCTTGCTGTTCGGCAATGCATCATGATTTTACGAGTGTACGACATAGTGTAGATAGGCTAAGAAAAACCTTTAGCTATTTCTCGACCTCAACCGCCTTCCCATGGCGATCACCCACCTAAGCACGACGGAAAAGGCCTCATAGGAGGCCTTCACCCTCGGATCACGGACTTGAATATCGTGAATACCACCACGACATCGCTTACTATTCTCGCTGGCGCAAACATCACGAATCCCACCAATTACTCTGCCACGATACCATACATTGACATCCACATCATGAAGAACGGCTCATTACTCGGGCATGCCACGGCTCGCGATCTATCAATCACAACAGGTCTCAACGCAGGGCTCAAAGTCGAAGCCATATACGCTCCCCTCGACTTCGGGGGCCCCGCAGCGAAAGTCATAGGTCGCGAGCTCATCTCACAGTACATCTCCGGCTGGAACACCACCATCACATTACAGATGCACGAGAAATCCATCCCGGCCAACCCCAAATTGGGACGAGCGCTCTCACACTTCCCCATCGAAGTCCTCGCTCCCCAACTCGGAGCCCACTCGCCACCAAAAGACAAAAACCATCATGGCGCGCCAGACAACGGCGACAGTAAACGCAAAGTCTCCTCAGGACCACATTTCATCAAAGACGCCACCATGCACCTCCTCTCCTCCTCCGCCACCTTTCTCCTCCTATCCCCCCTCCAACATTCCACCCTCATCATCACCGACCTCAACGCCACCGCCTTCTACAACGAAGATCCCGCCGGTCATCCCCACGACATTGGCGACCCTGTGGGTGATATCATTTACACTCTCCCATTGGCTGTCCCTCCCATTTCAGAAACCCCTGGCGAAGAAGGCTTTTTGACGCCGAAATTGCCTGTGGATTGGAGTTTGGGAAGTGTGGGCTATGGAGCTGTGAAGAGAGCGCTTGGAGGCACGTTGAAGTTGAGTGCGAAAGCTGATGTCGGGGTGCAATTGGGTAGGTGGAGAGAGAGGGTGTGGTATCAGGGTGGTGGGTTGGGGGTGAGGATTCGAATCTGATGATGAGGAGGAGGAGGAGGAGGATGACTGTAGGATGGGGAGAGGGATGGGAGGAGGGAAGACGACGTCTAAGTAAGCAAGCAAGCAGCCATTGCGAATGTGAGTGTGAGTGAAATGAATGTTGGGTTCAACAGCACATGAATTGAGATGATAAATAGGAGCGATGGAGTTTTGGGCGCATGGTATGGAGGGAGGTGTAAATAGACGACTGTTGAAAGAAATGCGGCAAACATGGGCCAAGTGCACTTCAAAGTGAGTGTCCACCAAGGTATTGTATCCCGAGTCGTTGAAGCAATCTCATGAAAAATTTCACCACAGGAACCGAGCAAAATTTGGTTGGCATGCTACTCATTTTTCGATTCTTTTCTACATTTGTGTAGGCTGAGAAGTTGAGAAACTTTCTATCCACTAGCAAACCGTAGCAGCACCGTGCCACTTGGTATCTGACTCTGTGACGAGGCAATCGGTAAATAAATGCACCGTCCTAACAAGTACACAAGTTTCTCAAGTCCACCGGCCGTGTGTCATAATCGCCATACACTGAGCGCTGGTCCACGCAAGCCTACCTCAGGACCTGCACTCGTTGTGTGCGGTCGTCTCATGCGTGTTCTTCGCTGCTTCATGTCTCGTGAGAGGGTCAGAGGCTTTATCAGGCCACCCAGCCCAATTGCTCCAATGCATCATCCTTCTCCCCTTCTTCTTCTATACTCCGTCTTCCTTTGGAAAGCTCGACCTCTTGATCAAGTCACAAGTCATCTTCATCAAGCTCGGAGGGCTTGAGGAGACCTCCCACCTTGGCCATACGCTCGCGCTCGGCCTCCTTGGCGTCACGCATCGCCTTCTCGCGGTCTTCGGTGAAGAGCTCTGCATTGTCACCGGCAAATTCCTTGAGCTGGATCAAGAAATCACGCAAGATGAGCTTGAATTTTGGTAAATCCTCTGTGCTCTCGAAAAGCTGTCTGATGAAGTTGGTAATCTGCTGCCCTTGCAGATTTGGGAACGCGTTGCTGAGTAGAGTCGCGACAAAGTTCTGCAAGAAATCTCGGTTGCTTGTGCCGGCGGTGGCCTGTTCAGCGGTGTAGATGGGCGAGGAGATCTTGTTGGCACCGACCAGCCAGAAAAGTCTGGCGAGGAGCATCGACTGATACTTGAAGCCAGCCTTGTGATCCGAATCGGTAAGAACGAAGAACACATCCTGCAGAATTGTCGTGTAGAAGCTTTGAAAGAAAGCATCGCAGGTCTGCTGGTCAGTGTGGTTCGCCATATTCTCCACCAGCTCGATACACATGTTGAGACCCTCTCCCTCGACAGCACGATTGTCGTGCTTGGAAGCCCACATGCAGCTGTCAATGACCAGCTTGAAGTGTGTCTGGTCGAGCTTGATGAGAGCGGGGAAACAACGCTGGTTGATAGCGCGAAGAAGCTTGAAAAACTCCACACGGTGCTCGGGATACTCGGAGAAGTCTTTGTTGATCATGTCAAGTGTGCACTCAAAGCAATTGTCGAGAATGGCAGGAACTTGTGCAGTCATCATGCCCTAAGGTGTCTTGTCAGCATCGTCAAGCTTACCCTTCCGTACGAGAGCGCGTACAATCATGTACTTGCTGGTAGTCTGAGTCCAACGTACCTGAAGCTTTGTGATCAGCACGGTGATGACTGCGAGCACCTCCGCCTCGCGCGCATCCGGCACGTTGTTCTTGTAGTCGAGCAAGATAGCCTCTAGAAGTTGTGGCACCAATGTGCTGTGCACCATCTCGAGGTCATCCGCCTTCTCGACATAGGTCGTAATGAGCTTCAAAATCTCCTTCTTAATCGTCCTCAGACCGCGGACCTTCGGCATCTTGGTGGCAATGTTACCATCTCGTTGCACACTCTCGTCGATGAGCTGCGATGAGGCGCGGTACATCGTGAGCATATCCATGTAAATACGGCCAATTTGTGGATAGAAGTACGAGCCAATGCTACTGCATGCTGCCACGTTAGTCTTCATGATATTTCCAACGACCTTGATAGTTTCGCCATTCTGCAAGATGCTCGGATCTTGATGCGCCGACTGGATGATCTGATCCCAAGCGGAATTTGGCAGACTCATCAACTCTGCAATCAGTCTCTCTTGCGTATTCTTGTGGCCTTGTGCACTGATCATGTAGCCGCAAGCCTCATAGAATGTGTGCACCTGTTGTGGGGACAAGTCGCAGGTGATCTTGCGCATCGTCTTGACAATCTCATCGATGAACGGCTCGCTCTCTCCAGGTTGTTGAATGACGAAATGCCGCTTGCATTTGTTCGCGATCTTGATGAAGGTATCGCACGCCATATCCTGCACGCCCTCGTGCGTCTCGTGCATGAACTCGAAGAGCTTATTCACCACCGTCTTCAGGAACTTCCAGTGTGCCTTCAAGAATCGGGGGTACTGTCCGACGATGTACATTATGTTCGAAGCCACAACAGCCTTGTTGTCCTTTCCACGCTTCATCTCGGTCAGTCCCAATAGATCTTTAATGACAGTGACCAAGAAGCGCTTCTCCGTCTCTTCGTTCATGGCACCTGAGATCGAACCGATAGCCCAGCAAAGGGTGTTGCAATTTGCCCAGCTCCACTCAGTGCTATCGACTTGTCGAGCCAGCTTTTCAGACATGATCTGCTCTGTATCGACCACATCAAGATGCGTCAAGAACACCAAGCACTCTCGTGTAGTCTTGTACAGTTGGATCGTGTCAGACTCCTTGACGAACTCGCGTACGATCTCACCCTCATCGTTCTCAACGATGAGAACTTCCTCAGGTCGCACCATCTTTTCGATCATGACCTGTCTGAGATTCGAGAGTACGTCGATATACTTGTGTTTCCGCAGCGGGTAGTTGGCCATGATCTGCGGATTCATGGCACCTCCGCCATTCGCCATTCCGCTCATGTTGATCAGCGGGTTCATGTCCGTGATGGGAATCTGTTGCATTTCGTCGTACAGCTCGCAGACTAGCTTTGTCCAGTACTCCAGACAGATCTTGAAAATTTCGCGATCGTCAATCTGACTTATTCGGATGAGATAGAAGTGGCCGTGCATCAAGAAGTCGCGGTTTGGAAGTGCTTCGATGAGGCCAAGGTGGTTGCTGAAGAAGTTGCACAGGAAAAGGGCTAGATTCTGCACGAATTCTTGGTCTCTGCTGTTGGAGGCCGAATACGTTGACTTCAAATCCAACGACAAAGGGATGATCGTGGAGATGGTAGTCAGAGTCTCGGTGAACATCTCCACAAGCTTCTCGTCCCAATTGTGCTCAGTCTGCAAGCTGCCAATCTCCGTCAGACACTTCAGAGTGATGTTGCGAAATTCCGGCACCTCTAGGAATCGACTGCGCAGAAGCTCAATGAGCGACATGCCAGTGGGTGGAGTCTCAAAGATGTAACCTAGGGGGATCCAATTCAAGAAGCGCAGCAAAGTCTCAAGCGTGGCCTTGATGAGACTAGGCTGGTCAGCTGTGCGCAGAATCTCGGAGCAAAGCTGGTAGATGCTGGTGAACTCGTCACACATGCTCTGCTTGAGCTGTCTTGTCTTGGTACTTGTCATCTGCTCGGCCGAGAAGTCGAAGACCTCCTCAGACAGAAGACGCAATATGGCCATGTTGTTCTCGCAGATGGGAAGACTGGCCCGGCAAGATGTGACAATCTCGTTGATAAAGGTCGGCCAGTTGTGAGGCCACTCCTGCTTGAGGATGCTCACCAGCGTCAGATTGAGCTTGTTGAGTAGCGCGCGTTCCTTCTTGAGGCTCTCGTCTGTGCTGCTCTGCTGGATGATCACGTTGACTACGAAATTCCGGATGCCCATGCACTGGTCGCGCGGCAGGACCTTCCACCGCGTCATGATCACGCTGTCAAGCACCTGCAGTCCAAGGTACTTTGTCTGTGGGTATTGAGCCTTTTCGAGAATCTGGTCCACCATGAGCCAGGCATCTGGGTTCTCTTTGAATTGGTTGAGCGAAGCTTGTGCCGCCTTTTGCTGCTCACCACGGCCCTCGTAGAAGGCGCGCACCGTGGCATCGAGCTCCTCGATGGTCGCCATGGTTGCTATGAGGTGCGGACACCACTCGACGTTGGGTTTTATGTGTGACGATCGAGTAAAAGAAACAGAAGAAGACGCGCAAACCGCTGAGGGTGTTTAGGCGGCGTCTTTCATGCAGTCAGTTGCTTGTGAGAGTGGTCGAGATGCTTCGTGACACGGCGCTGGCGGAGGTGAAGTGCGGGAGTGTTTTTATTCTGTCGGTGTGAGCGGGCGGAGGATGCTGAATTGCTGATGCTGAGGTGCAGGCTCGGCAGCGTCTTCTTCGGAGTGTGTTCGCGCAGTGATCAGTCGCTGGCGGCGGCTGTTCCAAAGTGGCGGGTAGAAGAGCTTAGCGCGCAGATGGAGATGGAGCGGGAAGCGTCGCGTCACTGTCTGTCTGGTGATGATTACCAATACCTTACTCTGGTTGAGGTGGTGAGGTGGTGTGAGAAGTTGCTGAGTGCTGGAAGTTCTCTCGCGCAGCCCACGCAGCTCCCTAACAAGACTAGACAAGACAACACGACCGAGGAGCTTTTCTGCGGTGTTGCTGCCTCCTGCAGGTCGAGAGGTCGTTTGGTGCTCTTTGGCGGGGCCTTTGAAGCTTTCACATGACCACCACCATTCACTGCTAAACCCTGCATAACGACCTTGAGCATAAGAGGTACCTCCTACACCGAAATACCTCCTATCCTCCTGCGACACGTCGGCACAGACGGGAATACATGTGATTCGCTGAGGCTGGAATCATTCACTGACAGGGTCGGAGGCCTAGGACAACTGTGTGAGACCGCTCTTCCAGAACCCCAGAAGCCTTTAAATCAATCGTGGCCACGGAAACAAAACAAACTATGGCAAACCAGCCTCAGACACGCTTAGCAGCAGCGACACCCACATCGGGCAGTCAGACTATCACCTCTACCTCGTCATCACAGCCCTCAGCCACACTACGACTGCGAGGCGCGTCCCCGGCATTAACACCCCGAGTACAATGGGCAGAAGACGTGGTCGACAACGAAGGGATGGGGAAGAAGAGCTCCAAAGTCTGTTGCATCTACCACAAACCTCATGAACCCGGCGACAGTGATAGCGAGTCTTCTAGCTCGTCAGATTCCGATGCTGACTCCGAGCCGGACCTGAGTCGCGCGCATAAAGCTGGTGAGGGCAAGGGAAAAGGCAAGAGAGGAAGGAAACATGACTGTGGCGACGGTCGAGATGGTGGGGGCAGTGGTAAGGACCGGAAGCCAAGTCCCAATGCTTATGAGAGGCAACCGAAGTACAAGGGAAAGGGAAAGGCGACGGCGAAGACAATGAGTGAGGGATGAATATGGGTCGTGATTTTGGGAGGCTTTCCTATCGAATCGAGGGATTTCAATGACAGAGATGATGCCTACGATCGGTGGCTACCGGACGGGCTGCACCACATAAGGTATGCATGAAGGCATATCTATAATGTACAGCCGCGCGCTCTCTGGACCACCTACATCGCGTCTTCTCTGGTTCCTATTAGGACGATCCATGGAACCCAAGTGTTATGAGGCACAGCAGTATCCTTACATGCCAGCTGCCGAGCATAGGGCAATAGCACTCTGCGGGAGTCAAAATCCTGCTCTTACTTCGCGCGCGGTGCAATTAGCTTGCCAACTTAGACCAGTATGGGGCGAGTCGGAGGATCTTGGGATTTTTGAGTTGTCTCATTCTCAGCTCACGACACAACTGCTCAGTCTCCCGCCTGGCTCTCTTGGAGCGCCTTCTTCGCGTCCTCGGCCTGCTCAATCGGAATGCGAACAAGGGTCTGCGGTAGCTGTGGCTTCGTTTCGTTCTCCGTTTCCTCGGCCTCGGTTTCTTTTGGCTTCGGTATAGCAGCTGCACAAATATTAGCTTCTTATCACGGCGCTGTTTGTCGCAGTGAGGGGCTCATACCACTAGCCATATGTATTGCTCTCAGCACAGTGTTCCAGTTGGCCATGACTGCAGCCACGGCCTCAGTGCCATTACTCAATGTTCCCAACTTCTCTTCCAGCTGCTGCATCTGTCCTGCCAGACCCGCCGACAGGTCGCGTAACTGCTTTAGACTTTCTAGTTCCAGCTTCTTCTCCTTGATGCGCGATTGCAGGACCGAGGATTGTGAGTTCGTAGACGCATGTCCACCCAGCCCCGAGGACGGCCGCATCATGCCTGATGTTGGTCGAGGAGCATAGGACATGTTTGTGGTTGTTCAGGAACGTAGTAGGTACATGTACCTAGTAGTGTTTCATGCCATGTGAAAGACTATCATCATCACGGCGACCCCGCGACCGACGCGTTGCGAAAGGCGCGAAATTAAGCGAAAGTTAGCGTTGGCCCGAGCAACAAGCAGAACGACGAGCGCGTAAACAACGAACATTTCAGCCAAGAAGACGATCGGACACACCACATTGCTAATGCCGGCATATCAATCAATCGAACACTCTATACCACAGCAGTCATATGAACGACGTTGCTGAAGCCGCGTCCCTCTCGCCCAACTCGCAATTGTCACCTGCACGCGTGCCTTTCGTGGATGGCGCGCTTGAACGAACCTGCCACCGCGACGGCGACCAGTCTGGTCAACGGCGTTGGAGTGGGAGCTGCAGGAGCGGAGAGTGTCGAAGTCTGTAAGTTGCTTTTTGTACTCGACATCTTGAGCATGCGCACATCCGAGCAGAGACATGCGCACGAAATCGAAGCTCCACAAAGTCCCACCCGCAACTGACTTGGCCGAAGTGAAACGAAGATTCATACGGCAGAATCGCGAACTTGCCAAAAACAACTCAACACAGTCATTACGCATACGAAGTCTCGAGCTAGAAGTCGGCAAGCTCTTGGGCGATAATTTGGATCTGAGAGAACAGGTGTTTAGTCTGCAGAATGAGCTATACAATGTGCGCATGCGGGCCAACCACGCGGCAGCGAGACGAGTCAAGGATGATCTGAAGGCGAAGCTGGCTGAGTTGAGTGGTCTGATAGACGGCATCGATGAGGAAGAGGCGGTCGAGGAGCGAGAGGTGCCGGAGAAGGCTCGCATACTGAGCCCGAGCAGACAGCAATACCGGGAACGGCAGCCACTGGCGGAGCTCATGCAGGAGACCCAGATGCCAACAATCGCGGAGGATAAGATGTTCCCGAGAAGATCGCTAGACGAGCAGGACTTTAGGCAGATCAGACTCAGTGATGGCAGTGCTGCTATAGGCAGTCCCGATCTTGGTCCTCCGCCAGTGGCGCACTTCGATGATCTACCAAAGCTGAGTCAAGAAGATACATTGGAGCACGGCGGAGATGAAAGAGATGAGGAGGAAGAACTGCTACCAACCATCAACCTGGAGACACGACGCAAGAGGAAAGATCCGTCGCAGCCTCGAGAATCACGAAGATCTTCTATCGTGGCTCACAGCCCCATCAAGCCAGAAGATGCGCCACATTCGATGCTCAAGACAGGTGCGAAAAGGAAATTGGCTGATCGCGACACTGAGAAGCTCATCAAACCTCCGGCTCAAGAAGACTTCACTTTTAGTAGGAGAGCTTCTGCTACGCAATCCCCGCCTCTACTAGAGATGCAAAATGAATCGGTTCAGTTTCCGGCACCCGCAGAAGAGCTTGAGCGGCCAGTCTCACCAGTGAAGCCACCCAGAAGAATCCTGGGCGATAAGAGCACCAACATGTCGCCGGTGAAAGTGACAAGCCGCACAGCAGACTCGATCAAGGACGACCTCAGGAAGCCTGCACCACCAAAGTTCAATGCTACCAAGGAACGGCCGTCTTCTCGTGGGAGTCGAAGGATATCGTCCATCTCTTCGATTCCAGCTCCACCTGCACGGGAAGAGGTTGTCAGCACTGTCGATGTTCCGCTATCCCGACCTTCGTCTACAGACTTGGTGCCAGAGACACCCGCAGCCCTGGACGTATTCTCCCCCGTTACATCCGAGCCATCGGCCCAGCAGCTCGGTGCCCGAGATACGCCTCCGCCGTCAGACCTGTCGTCCATCAGCAATACGACCGAAGGCGGACAACGACCCTCGCGCCGAGCACGATCAGCAGTAAATTACGCGGAGCCCAGTCTGGTGGCGAAGATGCGTCGACCGGACAAGAAAATGGCAGATGCCATATCTGGACTTCAAGACCACAGGCGGGTTATGAGCTCATCAACGACTTCTAAGCGCACGGGATCGGGGATTGTCAAAGTCAAAGAAGAGCCCACAGACGAGTCTTCCTGGGCCGGTCTCCCACATACGAGCAGCATCAGCGGAGAAAGCATGGGCTCGCCGCTTCGCCATTTGACGACTGACGATGGCTCGCGCCTTTCCCCACGCGCTTCACCTCGCGTCTCTCCTTCCCGGTCTTCCAGCTTGCTGTCGTTGTCAGACGGAGACAACATCGATGTGGGAGCGAGGCCAATATCATCCAGTGGATCGATCTCTACCCTCCTCGCGAATTCTAGGAAAAGACGCGAGGCGTTGGATAAACGAATCAGTCCGCCACCGAGCACAGCTTCGACGGAAGTGGATGCTGCGGCGAAGAGATTGGAAGAGCTTGAGTTGTATGACTTGCGAGACTCCAGTTCGCCCGCTGGCCCAGATGCTGCTTCGGGTGCAGCAGTGACGACGACTACAAATACTGCGAGCCACCGACGGCATAGTAGTGTGCCCAAGGGCGCAGTTGCAACACAGGGGATTGCAACTGCGAAGCATGTCAGTAGTGCGGATACTGGTGCCACAAGTCATGGGACCAGGATGAGTAGTCGTCGGAGAAGCATGATGTTGTGATCAGAGCGTCAGGGCCGTAAGGTATCGTCGAGCTTGTCTACATGGGTACATGTAGTGGTCTCTTTTGGTGATGAGAGCAATCGTTGTTGGTTCTTCATACAGCGTTTGGAGAGGTAGTGATCAATTAGCACGATACCCACCCTACCATCTCCTTTGGACGATGGACCTGTTCACATTGCTCGTCTCACCCAGATTGCTTCCTGCGATACCATCATCATGAAGTCAGTATTTCTTCACCAGACCTAGGTAGATGGCTCTGTTTCTGTGTGTCAACTACCTTACCTACCTTGTGTACGAGAGATGAAAGAGCCTTTTGTGAATGACTAAAGTAATGTACCTACGGTATGTAAGGTATGTAGGGTACATAAATGTAAATCACATTCACCAACCTTCTACTAAACGAGGTTACCTTAGTATCATATATGTCTGTAGTAAGTAAGTATGTAAGGTAGGTAAGTAGTTATTGGGTATATATTTCTTGATTGATGTTGATTGTTGCTATTGATGTTGATGTGGATGTTGATGTTGATGTTCTTGAAGTATTATCTTATCGAGTAGGGTATTTTCGCTATAGGTACAATAGACGCCCCGGGGCAGCCGGGCTAGAAATCTAGAACCTGGCCTGCTCGAGCTGTGTTTGTGAGAAAAAAGGTAAAAACTGTACTGCATTCGTCTGCAGGGTCCTAGCTCAGGTAGGTACTGCAAGCAGCAAAGGTAAACGCACTGCCAAGAGCCTTTGTACGGAATGATTTGTGATTCTTTTGCATAAGGTAAAAGAAGAATTCACGAGCGGTGCATGTACTCGGCTACACACACGACCTGCGAGAAGGTACCAAAGAATTGAGAACGCGTTGTCTGAAGCACCTTACGGAGTAACGGAGGTAAGAGAGGTTCGAACAGAAAAAGCCAAACGGGTTCGTGTAGCGAGCGAGCCAAGCCCCAAGGACCTACCGTTTCTACTGTATCAGTGTATCTGGACCCTATCAGACAGAGGTATATGTATCCGCGCGCGTCGGAAAGTCAAGACAATGGCTTGATGGCGTTGCAAATAGTGTTTCGGGTCAAGCCTTGCGAGCCCCTCTATAGCCTAGGTGCATGTATGTGATGTAGTTGTTGTTACCTATCTGACCATTGTCCCGAGAGAGAGAAGAAGAAGCTGTTGGTGCCAAGTGGTTGATACCAAGCTCTACGTAATAATGTACCCACAATATACGTGTATGTGCGTAGTCTGTGATAAAATTGATCTTCATGGTAGATGCTCGGAAAGGATTATTCAAAGCAAAGAAAAGATGGTTTCGTGAGCCAGACCCCTGCGGCCGTTCGACCAGCCTGTCGGAATGAAGGCCGGGCCGTATTGCGCACTGTTTTGACAGGTCTAGGATGTTCAGGTTTGACTGGTCGAGGAGAGTGGAAAGTGGTAGGAGTGGTAGGAGTGGTAGGGAGAGGTACCTGTATCAACTAGGATGGCCTGTTTCGCTACCATGTTGGCTGTACGGTGACCTGTACCTGTGTCTTGTCTTGCACCTCCTGTACACCTCATGCTTCTCCTTTCACAACTTCATAATACAGTACAGTACCTTATGTATGAAAGTAGAGTACACAAGTGCAGTGAATGGATGAATAATCGGCGAGGCGAGCGTCGTATGCAGTAGTCCACATTGTCGTCACAGCACCCACAGCATCCACACCACTTATCCTCAAGCAAGTAGTACAGGCTAAATTAAGACACGGCAGGAGCGCGTGTTCGGGAAGCTTGCAGGCTTTCTAACTAGGAGGTAAATGCACTGGCAGGTTCTTTTTCCATGTGGCGAAGCTCAGAGACGCCCACGTTTACTGACCTTACCTAGTAATATCTCCTACCTAGTACCTCCCTCCTAGTACTCGCACAGCAACAACACCGACACCGACATCCTCCTCCTCTTTCTCCCTCTCCCTCTCCCTCTTCTCCTTCTTCTTCTTCACTCACTCACGCACCCTTTCTGACTACCGAAGAAGTCCCTTGTACTCACTCGCTTGTACATTCTTCTTCTTCTTCTTCTTCTTCCATCGCCGCCACTTCGACCGGGAAACTCTAATAGCCTTCTTCTAGCCCATTCTACCAAACCTCAAACGAAAGTCTGTGTGTTCGCAGCAGTGTAATTTCGACAAATCCACCAATCGATCACGCTGATCACCGCCCTCTGAGTTGGAAATCTGTTCCAGCCTCAGGCTCTGCCCGATTGGCTTATGACTCCCCCAGTTGCTCCTGCTGCAGCAGTCATGCTCTCTTTCCTCCTTGGATTCGCACAAATCGACGCTGAAGAGATTCCCGGTGGCATTGTTCCCAACAAAAGGCAAGCTGTAGGAACTGGTGTGACGACCACCGCGAGCGAAACCCAATCCACTACCATGTCGACTCCTTCAACCTCAGCAACTGATGTCGATTCAACCACCGAATCGACGCCTGCTGCCCCTTCAACCACACAAAACCCTACCACTCCGACCACCGAGACTACTGTCGCTGCTCCAACCGCTCCGACCACTTCTTCTGCTCCTGCTCCTTCACCTTCACCTTCCACACCCGCCAACACTACGCCGACCTCAGATGCCACTACAGAGACGACAACGCAGCCTGCGCCTTCGCCTTCAACTTCAACTGTACCAACCACGATCGAAGTGACGACCACAAACTCCGCTGGATCTGTCGTGACCTCGAGAATCACCTCATCAATCATAGCAGTGGCATCACCTACGAGCAGCTCCGATGCTGTCGTGAATCTAGGATCGACCACCATCAACCGCTCCACACTTTCGAGCAACTTGGTCATCACCAGGCCTTTCACCACCTCCGCAACTGTTGCCTCCACATATACCTCATACTTCACTCAGGATGGTACCCTCGCAAGCGCAGTCTTCACTACCCAGCAGGTTCTGGCCACCACTGGTGTAGCCACATCGACCATCTCGCCTGATCTGCAAGGCGGCGGCAGTGGTGGTGGCGGTGGCGGTCTCTCTTCCAGCTCAAAGTCCATTATTGGAGGTGTCGTCGGTGGTGTGGGAGGAGCCATCCTCGTCGGTGGAATCGCCATTGTAGCCTGGAGACTCTGGGGGAAGAAGAAGCAACGAGCTGTAGGGCAGCACAGTTACAATGACTCGATGGATCATAGCCTACAGAAAGGCGAAAGCTCTCCGGCCCAGTTGGCTGGCGGCACTGGACTGGAGAGATATCAGCAACCTCACGTCAACACTGCGAGCAACTTTTGAATCGTCTTCAGTGGTGAAGGGGCGCTGCGCAACTCGACAAGCGATGCATTGATCTTTTTTTCCCTTTCGTGCTGCATTTCGAGCGTAACGATGGATAACGAACGGTACATCACACAGCGTGCATAATTTACTCGTGTCGTATATTGCCCATTTCTGGCAATGTAGGAAGAATTTAGAAAGGAAAGTTAGAAAGGAATGGAATGGACTCTTGGCATGGGAAAGATATAAAGAACAAAAGCTATCGTTGCTCTCGTCCTCAGCACAGAGAGGAAAGACTGTCACCACGACAAATAGGGATTTTCTTACCTTTTGGGTGTCGATACCAATCAATGTATAGTATTTGTTTAATTACATGGACAGGACTTGTGTGTGTGTGGATTCCAGAGTACTTTCGTGATGGCGAGCTAATGTCCAAAAAAAGAAAGATGGTACCTTACTGCTAGACGTAAGTAAGGGTACAGGTACAGGTACAGTACCTACCCAGTCCCTTGGAGTATTGTTTGACTTCTAGTTCTATATAGTTCTACTAGATCTTACTACGCCCGTTACCTACATAGGTAAGGTAAGGAGGTAGAGCTTAGGTTCGAGAGAGAGACTAAAATGATACCTAGACAAGGTAAGGTATGCTCTAACTAGTATATGATTTGTAGCGAAGTATATATATACTAATACCTACAATTCAAAAGCTAGGAGGAGGTAGAAGGTAGCAATTTAGTATCTCCCTTACCTAGTAAAGGTATCTAGATAGGAGGTAGCTATATATACATTACCTTCTAGGTTACCTATACCTACCTTACTTATTAAAGACAACAAGACAAGATTAGAAGATGGTATTCTAACGAAATATCGGATGATGATGATGATGATGATGATGATGATGATGATGATGATAAGAGTAAAGGGAGGTGAGAGGGAGTAGGAGCAAGAGAAGTAAGCAAGATGCTGCTTTGATATATCCTACTCTTGTCTATTCGTTACCCTTTTTACTTTCTGCTGTTTCCCGAGCACGAATACTGGAATGGGCTTCTTCATCAAAATGATATCCACGCCTGACAACTACTTCTTCCCAAAATGCAACCCTTTGGTGGGATCCCAAGTCTGTCCCGCTGCAGCTTTGCCATTTCCAGCTCCCCCAAACACAATCGGCATGTTCTCATTCCACGTTTGGTTCGCCGGGCCAGCACTCACCGGACTCTGCACGTTAGCAACAGGCGGTGGTTGAACCGCCACTCTTTGCGGTATAGGTGCCGGTATCGTCGCCTCGGGCTTCGCAGGCTGCACACTCCCTCTGCGTGAAGCGGCCTCCGCAGCTCGTTCTTGCAACAAATTGGCTTGCGTGTGCTGCTGAAGCTGCAGACCTGCGAGAGCATTGGACACATCAGCATCGATAGCCGAGGCTTCGCTTCGTCTCTGCGTGAAGAACGCCCGGCATTCATCTCGGAACTTCAGGGTAATCCCACTGAGATCGTTGTAGAACTTGCGGCCCACTTCAAGGTTCTTCATGATTTCTTTGTACGCCGTGTAAGCATTCTCGAGATTTTGCAGAGCGTCTTCACGTTCTTTGGAGCTGCTGTCTCCTCTTTTAGCGTTTTGAAAAGACTGATTGGCGTCTTTGACCCGCTGCAGGAGCGTGTCTTGTTCCCGTTCTTCGGTCTTGAGGCTGCTGCGGTCCAAGTCGTACTTCTGCAACCGCTCATCGAATAGGTTCTCGAATTGTGACGCTTGGATAGGCATCATCGGATATTCGCGCTCGAGCTTGTTAGACTCTTTGCGAAGGTCAGGCTGAATGTCATCTTCCTTGACCTTCATTCGCAGCGCCTCAACTTTCTTCCTTCGCCTGGACTCGAGTCGAGACACCTCATTCAGTGTAGCGCGGAGTGCGTTGGCTTCACGTTCGACTTTTGCAGTCATGGTCGCTCGTCGCGACGAGGGTACGTAATCCTCCAAGTCTCGATCACTTCCGCCAAGAAGTCGTATGAGAGTTTCGTTCTCGCGCAGTCTGTTCAGGACACTGCGGTCTGTGGTGTCTGCCGCTTTGAGCCAGCCATCGATGGCGTCAATCTGGTCATATAGCTGTTTGGCGGCTTGGCGGCCAGATGGACGTGACCAACGATCTGTGCCATATTTTCGTCTTGCAGTTTCGTCTTCGTTGGACTCTGTACGCAGAAGATCGATGCCTTCTTGGTATAGTGCTCGATTATTGGCTTTCAGCTTCTCGGTGTCAGCAATAGTGCTGTGGAGAAGATGCACCCCGCCGATTTGTCGTATCTCGTCTGCATGGCTCGCCAATCCTGGAGGTAGGCCTAATGGCTTCTCCAGCGCCTGCAGTGATCCTGGCAGGTTCAGGCTCGATAGAAGCTCATGTATCCGCACGGTCAAGGCGTCCAACTCTGCGATAATAGTGTTGTTGACTAGGCGATCTCGCCGATCGGTGTAGATCGATGCTGCAACGTGCACCGCATACGGTACCAGTTTCGAGAACAGTGGCTTTCCGAGCTCGCTTCTATCTCCCAACATCTCTTGCGAATTCGACACCTCTTTTGGCACTCGCGACTGCACCATGCTAGCACGATCGAGTGGTCTGAGTTCGCTCTTCGAAGGCTCGGGGATCAGATATATTGTGTCATTGTCTTTCTCCGCTCTCTTGAGATCTTCCGATACTCTATTCTTCAAGCCGTTCAAATCTGCAAGCACCATTTTGTTGATCCACTTCGTCTCGTTCAGCGCAATCATGGCGCACGTCAAGCTATCCCTCAAGCGCGCCACTTCTTCGCCGTACTTTCTCTTCTCCAGGCAGTCACACGCTGCTCGGTATTGCGCAGCTGCGGCAAAGTGGTGATGCTTAGCGTTCATGTGGTGTATCCATTCGCTGCGCACGCTATCTGTCTTCAAGCTCCACTCCTTCGCATCGTTGTATAGATCGCTGACCTTGGCTGCAAGTTTCGCGATGATAGCGTCCTTCATCCCATCTTTCACTGCTTTCTGCCAGAAGCACTCCTGCGCCTGTGCTAGCATCAAAGCTTCCAAAGCCTGCAGAGTCGCAGGGTCCATGTCCTCTGGCGGTGCGGTCTTCATGTCCGGGACGACATTCTCTCTCAAATGCTTATACACTCCCGCAGCGAAGCAGAAGTTATTCGCAGCGCTCTTCAGGCCATCTCCGGTGGCACGGTTTGAGGCAAGCCCTAGCTGTGAGTACATAGCAGCCAGATTGAACAGCACATTTGCAAGCTCGAATCGAATGTTGTTTTCGGTGATGGGTCGATCTGTGTTATATCCCAAAGAAGGATACCAGGTGAAATTCGCGCCCATCTACTTACCCATCAGCCTACATTCGTGCAGTTCCATTGTCACTGCAAATCGCTCAGCGTACGTCTACTGGAAACTTGCCGCCCAGCCATACGAGCTGTGCGGCGTAGGCCTGCAGCTTCTTGATGCCGCTACTGTGAGGCTCGAGAGCGTTGACGGCATCTTTGCGCAGCTGGTCGATGATCTCCAGGTCACGAGTGAACAAGTCCGGGTGTTGGTCGAAGGTGGTGCCGATCTGGACTTTGATTGCTTCCGACAGCTGCGTGACATGCGTGCGCCGGAAGGGAATCTGGAGGATGTTGCTGCTCTGCATGGCGAGGTCAGTCTGTGTTACGGACGAGGCATGGCATGGCACAGTCAGTAGAGAGAGCTGTTTACGTGGGGAAGTCATCGCCGAGCTTTCAGATATCCAGGCATTCAGGCATTCAGGCACCCACCTACGGCCTTCTTCCGCCCTGACCCCTCATCACTGTCACATGCCGGGTAATGGATGAGGCGACGCTGAGGCCATACATTTGAGCATGTTTCCAACCAAAGCAGAAGTCACGCGCGTGTGTCAGATAGAAACAAGAGGACAGTTGTACCTGATCTAACCACGAACAACCTGCCAGCACGCCATCTGTCGGTCTGATTGAGGTATTGATTCATAAACCTCCTTTGTTTCCACTTTCTTAGCAATCCACCGCCTCCAGTAGGAAACCTCTATTCCAGGCCATCACCACCGAAATCAACACTACACCTTCCTCTACTCCCACGCGCATACTCCCCCTCTCCCCCTCTCCCTCCACACACACACACACACACACACACACACACACACACACACACACACACACACACACACACCATGGCCGAACACAAGTACAAGTTCAACGTCTCCATGTCCTGCGGCGGCTGCTCTGGCGCAATCGAACGAGTCCTCAAGAAGCTTGATGGTATGCTGCTCTTCAATCCACACATTCGACCCCTCCTCAGTCAGTATCCATACTAAATGCTCACGTTTCCCTAGGCGTGAAAGAGTTCAACGTCTCACTGGAAACCCAAACCGCCGAAATCACCACCGACGAGTCCGTCAGCTATGCAACCGTGCTCGAGAAGATCAGCAAGACCGGCAAGAAGGTGAACTCGGGCGAGGCCGATGGTGTGCCACAGTCGATTGAGGTTACGGCATAGGGTAGAAGTCATGAAGTATGGGAGGAAGCTGAGAACTATATTGCAAGTGGCACGAAGTGGTGCCATTTGGCAACTAAAGGGAGGTCTGGATCATGGGCGATACCTGTGTTCTCTCTGCGTGGTCCTAGCAGGGCTGCACCATGCGAAAATCGAAGATACCCAGGGCTCGATCGAGAAGATTAGAAGGGCGAATGTCATGATTGATGTGTTTCAAATGACTGTGTTCCTACTATCTGTCCATGAGCAATTTTCCGAGACAATGATACGGTACGGTAGGCCACGAAAGTACGTTGATTTGTCCCGTATGCCTCAAGACTGGCAAACCCAGGCTAGAGGAAGTGCCACACCAGAGGTGTCTATAGGACAGTCGAATACAATGGCAAAGCACAATCGATTAAACAGCTACTGCACTATCGAGGATTGTAGCTCATGACTGTAAGACTCATCAACGAGGACTGTTATGGCTAAAGAAGTATCCACGCTACATATTGATCGTTCCATCTTTTCTGCCACTCCATTACATCTAGAACCTGCTCTCAACCTTCTTCTGGATGTCCTGCAAGGCCCATTCACTTCTCTGCTTCCTACTCCTCACCGCGTCTGCCTGACTCTTTGTGAAACCTCTCGCTTCGGTAGCAGGGTTGTACCCAATCTTGGTAGCCTTCACAACCTCCTCATCCGACATCTTCTTGGGCGCCCCGCCATCTGCGCGCTTGTACACCGTCACCACCACAGCACCTCCCAATCCGAGGTTATGTTGCAGCGCAACAGTAGTGTCAGGCACCAGTCTGTTGTTCGCCCAACCTCGCAAATGCCAAACCAGCTCCGAGCACTGAGCAATACCTGTAGCACCCAGCGGATGTCCCTTACTGATGAGACCTCCGGAGGGATTGATCACCATCTTGCCTCCATATGTGATATCTCCGTTCCTGACCATCTCATGAGCCTTTCCATGAGGTGACAGTCCCAAAGCATCGATCGTGATCATCTCATTTGCCGAGAAGCAGTCATGAAGTTCGCAAACTTTCACATCTCCAGGCTTGATTCCCGCCTCCTCCATGGCAGTCTTCGCCGCATAGGCCGTCATCTCTCTGCCCATCAGATCAATCGCTGACCTCGAAAACAAGCTCGGGGCATCCGTCGCCAAAGTCTGACCCGCAATCAAAATCGCCTGATCTCTCAAGTGCGGCCTCTCTTGCAAAAACTTCTCACTGACCAGCACCGCCGCTGCGCCTCCATCGGAAGTAGGGCAGCATTGCAACTTGGTCAGGGGTTCGTGAATCGTCGTGGAATTCATGACCTGCTCCAACGTATACTCATCCATGAACTGCGAGTAAGGATTTCTCTTGGAATGTTCATGATTGATTCGACCAATCTCCGCAAAATCTTCCTTCTTCGCTCCATACTTCTCCATATATTCCCTGCCCGCATTTCCAAACAACTGCGCTGCTTCCGGGGCATTCGTTCGACCACGTGTAGCCATCATCATCTGACCCGTCGTTCCCGTGGGGTTCGCACGGTCCAAAAAGTACGACTGCAGAGATCCTGGGTTCATTTTCTCAAATCCGACGACGAGAACGGCGTCGGCCATGCCACCTGCGATCATGGTGCGTCCGAGATGGAGGCCGGTGGATCCTGTGGAGCAGTTGTTGTTCACATTGTAAATGGGAATTTGAGTCATGCCGAATTGGTAAAAGACTCTTTGGCCACAGGTGGAATCTCCGTAGCAGTAGCAGGCAACTCCGGCGTCGATTTCATCATAGTTGGTTTGCGCGTCGATGAGGGCTTTGATGCCGGCTTCGAAACCGAGTTCAGTGTAGTCGACTTTTCCACGCGGTTTGATGAACTTGGTCATGCCTACACCGAGGACGTAGACCTGAGAGGGAGATATTAGCTACTTAACGACGCGTGGTATCTGGACGGACGATATTTATTGAAGCATACCGGAGGCTTGTTCTTTCCTGCTTTGGCGGCCATGTTTGCTTGTACCTAGTCTGATAGAAAGTGGAGGACGAATACTTCAAATGATCGAGGAGAGGGAGGAAGAAAGTGGGTAGGACTTTGCTTTGGACAATAAATGTAGCCGACTCGAAGAATACACGTCGTGCTATTAAGCATGGGCGTGGCGGGGATGGCAGACCGAGGTTCAATCTCATGCTCGCACTCGGCTGCCACTCGCACACTACAGGTACCTACTATATGCAGGGTTGTGTTTTACCGCAATTGCCGTGGGGTGGAAAAGTCACACCAAATTCGAATTGCATATAGGCCACCGCGCAACTTAGCAACGATAATACTTTTGCCTAGCTCCGTGGCTGGTTTATTCCCAGTTCTGCGCTGCCTGGTGAAGATGTTTTAAGGTGACGGAGCTTGCAGACTCCGCGTGGGCAGAATAAGAGAAGACGGGAGACATGAGTTTCATCGACGTATGTCATCTGGTACGGTCTATGTCCGCGCTTGAGCGTTCACTTGACACTGATCAGCGGATGTCAGATTCTCATTCCATAGTGCGTAGCTCTTATAGCATAGCCGTCAGCCTCTGCGGTGCGCGTGGCAGTGTGTCCTGCAAAAGGCCAAGCTAGAAGTACACCATTGTCTTCATGATGATGCCGCTCTTCAAACGCCTGATGATTCCCGCAAGCCGTTGTCCATGTATCGATCGTCTATGAACGTGGCTTCTCCTTCTTCTCCTTCCAGAGTGCGCTGAGACCAACACCAGAAACCTTGACAACCTTGAATCGCACACCAGGAATATCACCCTTGGCCTTTCCCTTACGACCGAAACCAGCGAGCAGGACCTCGTCGTTCTCGTCGACGAAGTTCAAGCAACCGTCATTTGGCACTGCTGGGCATTAGTGGTCATCACAGATAACAGTATCGAGATCAATCGTACCGAAAGCAGTAACCTTCTTGCCGTTCTTGATGAGCTGCACACGCACGCACTTTCGGATGGCGGAGTTGGGCTGCTTGGCCTCAACACCAACCTTTTCGAGGACAATTCCCTTGGCGTGAGAAGAACCCTTCAATGCTCGTCAGTGTATGTTCAATGGCATTCCATCTTGTCCCTCATGTTTTTTTCCTTTCCATCGCTCCTTGTCGACCGGTTTTACTGAGGGGTGTACGTACTCCGAATGGCGAGGACTTGTATGCGGTACCCAACAGTCTCTTCTTGTAGTGAAGATCTGCCCACTGCTGCTCACGGCGGTGGTTGCGGAGCTTGCGCGCGGCCAAAAGACCTCTTGGCTTTCCCTTTCCCATATTGGCTGTAAATGTGTGTTAGTTTGTAGTGGCCAAAGAATGTTGATTCGAATTGTGTAGCGGGTCGGAGTGCATATCGTGGGAGTCGTTTCGTGTGCGCAGAGATGTCTTCGATGATACTGCTCGGAATGGTGATACGTTCGATGATGGGCTTGGAGGCGACTTACCGGTGTTGATGTGTCGAGAGAAAGATGTCGCTGGACGCTGGTGAAGTCAAGGTCAAGCCGTGCTTCACAATTCGAGGTGCGCCAAGGAAGAAGCGGTTGTTGCCGTTCCTTCCATCGATCGCCGACTCCACATCGACACTCTCGTGTCGCTTCTACGCATCTCACATGTACCACACACGCCACTACCACCTCTTTGTCACTCCAGTACAATCACGCATCCACTGAACCTGGGAAAGTCACAGAGTTTCTGGGAAAATCGGGGACATACCGAAACTTGACCTAATTATCGAGATTGAACCAGACTAAATTCATTTTTAACCGACTTGCCACGAAGGACTCCTGCGGCCTGGATCATAGCGAGGTCGACACATACATGCACCTTAGCAATGTGATCTCGAAAGAATGATGAAACCGAGGTTCTGCACCAAATTTCATTATTCCAGACGAAGGCCAGAAAGATTTTCAATACGTTCGCACGGGCCCAAGCAAGCTCAAAGGCTCATTTGATCGCAGTCAGAGACGAGCATCTCTCCTTAATTCCTGGGGTTAAAACATAGCGTCAATGCATTCAGACTTGCTCGTTTATCAGGGGCGACCACTCTGCACAATAGACTCCTGCAGCACGAAGGCGGACAATTCAAACATGTGTTCCCTTCTTCAGTCCGGAGGTCTGTTGTTCAGTACCGGTTTTTTATTCCTTATTACCGCACCCAGCAGTAATAGCCGACTTCCTGATTGTGGCCTTGTGCTCGCTGCTTAGAATCGCGGCAATGAAATGGCCCAGAAGGAGAACATGGAATTCTTCGTTTTGGTATTTCTACCACACTTATGTAATTATGTGCTCGTGATTCTGCGAAGCCTCCCTCGTCTGCGGGTGCACGAAGATGAGATGGCTTGTGGTTCAGTGCGAATTGTTGAGCTGTACCAAGAATAGTTGCTTCCGTGCCCTGTAATCCTTGGAGTATACTGTGAAATCCAGACAGAGAACCAATACGTCCATTGTACCAACCATGGCCTTCGACATCCATTCTCCGGGTAAAGTTGCATTGTGGCTTTGGGGCCACCCAATCTGGCCGCACCATCTCTGGCACATGATAAGGCTTGCAGGACTTCTGGGTGAGTCCCGTGTGAATGTCGATTGGAGTCCCATACATGTAGCGAGTAAGATAGCGACTCATTCTGTTCTAGCGAGACATGCTCAGCACTGGCCTAGGATAGCATTGGTGCATGAGCAACAGTGGCGCAGCGGGATCAATGGAGATCGAGAGGCCATACGACCTTGAGAGGCTACAGCACATGGTGGCAGGGAGGTCATGGTAGACGTATCTTGGTCAAAAAATGGAATGCCAGTCTGGTTCTGGCCACACCCGATACCTCTTCCTGTGCTGTGCCCTCCCTCCATCACTTGATTCTGCTCTGCTTCTCGAATCCTATGATAGGCGCGCATCGGTCGCTGCTTTTTCTTTTGTCAAGAGTCGACGACCCTAAGCCCTTTGATTATTGCCAAGAACAGTGCATAGCTCGACTGGCTGTACTTTCGTTATATAAAGGGTATATTACTCATCTATCCTGCCACCCATCCTCCAAGGTTCTTGGGTCCTGTCTGTATGCTGCAGCATAGCACAATCGCAACGCGCTGCACGCTTTTCCATCTGCATTTCCCCTCTCCCGATACTTGCAATCATGCCATCCTCACCTCGCCTTCTCCGCGATCTCCTTCCCCCGTTGGAAGACCCTTGATATCTGATTCCCCACGCTCTCTTCCACTCTCTCGGTCCAACTACTCCAGTCCACATTTTGCAGCATCTTCACTTCCTTCTCTAGCGTAGAGTTCCACTTGTCCTTCGCAGTCTCCCAAATACCGGCCTGGATTCTTCGATCCGGCTGAGGAGGGAGTGGCGGTTCGGGGGCGTAGATGTTCGAGACGAGACGAGCTTGTTGGCGTAGTAGCAGTGTCTGATGTGCTCTGTTGCGGGCGTGAAGTTCGGTGGAGAGGTACAGAATGGAAGCTGTAAGGGTGAAGCCGGAGAGCTGGATACAAGAGATTATTAGTTATTCAGCTGAGAGTATGCGTGTGAAGACGGGGGAAGCGTACGAGGCCGGTTGTGAAGCCCATTATTGTCGATGTGCGTGTGTATATGAGATAAGGTACCTCCTAGAGTGGAGTGTGTGTGCCCGTACAGAAGTGAGGTAGTGGTACATGGCATGAGGCTAAAAGTGAACCTCCGCACACTCCGCCGTCACCACCCGCCCCATGCAGTGTTTCTCCTCCCTCACACTCTAGGTTGTATACAACAGCAAGAAGTAAGAAGAAATGGCCGGTGGACTCGTCAAATACCGCCATTTATCGCGACATTCAGCGCATCGCAAAGCACTTCTGCGCAACCTCGTCACATCCCTCATCGAACACGAGTCCATCACGACAACATGGCACAAAGCCAAAGAAGCCCAACGACTCGCCGAAAAGCTCATTACACTGGGAAAGAGGAATACGATAGCCTCCCAACAAGGCGCCCAAGCTATTTTATTTGTACGTTCCTATCCATCTTCAATGCCGAATTAGAACCAATGCTAATGGGAATAGGATCCCTCCAAGCACTTCCCCAAACTCTTCAACGAACTCCGTCTCCGCTATGCCACTCGTCCTGGAGGCTATACACGTGTCCTCCGCCTCGAGCCCGAGAAAGAAGATCAAGCCGCCAGTGCTATCCTGGAACTGGTCGATGGACCTAAGGATATGAGATTGGCTATTACAGCTAAGAGTATCGCGCATGGAAGGAATCAGGCAGAGGAGCAAGGGAGAGTCTTCAGGCTAAACGACATGACTGCGCATAATGTGAGGAAGGTGACGAGATTTCGGAAAGATGGGGAGAAAGATCTGGAACAAATGGTTGGAAAGTTTGAGAGATTGTTGGAGGAGGGAGATGAGGGTGTGGAGGTCATCAAGAAGAAGAGGGTCTATCCGGATCAGCAGAGGAGTCGATAGGCTTGGAAGCGAAGAGGGAATGGAATGCATTTGTACAGCATGGCTATGGGTATGAGCATGGCGTTTATGGGCAGGTGGGTATGGCAGGCTAGAGCGCTTATGCCGTTGTATCGAAAAAGTCGTCGAAGAAGCCGGTTCCGTTCCACTTTCGACTGGAATTAAACCATATGCAACCCGAGGTGATTTGGGATGGTACTAAATCTGCAGAAAGATGAACTTCTGGTGGCCGTGTAAGGTAACGGAACTGCTTGAAGGGAGCAATTCAGGACCTTCGGACTTGAATCATCTTCGACTTCTAGCTTAGATGGGCCAAGAAGAATACCAGGCAGCGAACACTGGTCCCATAATGCTGGTGGGTAAGAAGACGTACCAGCGGTTGATGGCAACAAGGAGAGCCAGGACCACTAGAGCAAATAACAAATAACCCGAGGGTCCAGTTATCGAAAGACACTACCTCCTAGATCACCACAACGGCGAACATTTGTACTTTCGACTAAAGCATTGAAGGATCCAGAAAGCCTTACCATGTTCACAGCATACCTAGCCAGGATACAACGAGCCGTGCACAGAAAGTTCCACTCGACAATCTGGCAGATGCACTCGTCGTCGAGGCGACACATACGCTCGAAGGACATGCAAGAAATAGTAGCGAGAATATAGTAGAAATGACACCCTCACACAATTCTGGCAGGATCCACAATGCACAGAAAAGATATGCGGATCGGTGTCCCATTACTGACTGTTCACAGTTCTACCAGGCGCCGGGTAGGAACTCCCGCGTTTTTACAATTGCGCAATCAGTTTCATCTCTGCCTTCTCGAAAAGGCGACTGCTGATAAGGGCCCTCGAGCCCAGTTATAGTCTATTGGGAGCGAGCAAAAGCGACAGGAACTAGAGATTACGCCAGACAGATTAAGTCCGACTGTGGCCGGTCCTGCTTTCGCTCCCTGATACTGTTAATGCATGTGATACTGGTAGTATCACTCAGCGCGTTTGTGATCGTATTGCGTTGGGCCAAAACTTACAGATGGGCCGTACAACTCAACTTCTTCGCACGACAACGGCCGAGACTCGCGTTGGACAGCCTGGGCAGCATGAGCAGACACAAACGAAATCATTCTAGGTCGTGGAAGCAGTTCTGGTGATGATACGTGCGCCGTCTCAGAGATTCCCTGCGCCGTTCCAGCCGAGCTCAGTCTCCCAGTGTCGCTTAATGAGTTGTTCGCATCGACCAACCGATCTCAGAAGTGTTGAAACTGGAAGTCTCCAAGTCGCGCTATGAACTCGCAGTCGGATGAGATGCTGCCGTGCAAGACATGGTAGTATTTTCGAACGAGCCATCTCCACGCATGTCATCTTTCATCTCTCGGCCTCGTAACGTGCATCTGTCATGGTTGTTGAAATGTAACGTGGATATCAAAGCGCAGGTGGAGGAGAATATACGAAGATGTTACGAGAAGGTAGACCAATGCCGTCATCGGCAGCTTCTTACACTTCACTTCACCTCGACAAACTTCTTCTGCCATATGCATGCATGCACACTTACATGTAACATACCGCTCCGCCCCGCCCCGCTCTCTACCATGGCGATTCAAGTGCCAAAACTCTCCGAGCTGGCAGTTTTCAACCCACCCTGCACGACTCGCACCTGGCTCTCAACACCACACCCCCACCTCCCCATAATCGCAACAGCCTGTTCCGACAAAACAGTCCGAATCTACAGTCTACAATCCTTCCAACAACTGAGCGTAATCGCTGGTGGCCACAAAAGAAGTATCCGATCCTGCGCCTGGAAGCCCAACAGCGTAGGCGAGAGCGTCCTAGCGACTGGTTCTTTTGATGCAAGTGCGGGGATCTGGAAACGATGGGAAGAAGGCGCAGGAACAGGAACCATAGGAGGGAGGGACAATCATGAAGAAGGTGAAAGGGACTTCACAGGAGGGCTAGCTGGTGGCGATGGAGAGAAAGATGGCGAGGATGATGAGGAATGGAGATTGGAGGTTATACTTGATGGACATGATTCCGAGATCAAGAGTTTGGCGTTCTGTCCTACAGCGCCTTTGTTGGCGACTTGTAGTCGGGACAAGAGTGTCTGGGTGTGGGAGGAGTTGGACGAGGATAACTTTGAGACAATGGCGGTGCTACAGGATCACGAGGGGGACGTGAAATGTGTGGCATGGCATCCTGAGGAGCAATTGCTTGCCTCGGGAAGTTATGACGATCGGATACGATTATGGAGAGAGGATGTGGATGACTGGGCTTGCTGCACGCTGCTTGATGGCCATGCAGGCACTGTATGGTGGTTGGAATTCGAAGCTTCAACGAGGGTGGGAAAGGTAGAAGGTGGGGAGGGGCGGACGGACGAACAGAAAGCTTTGCTCGAAGAAAGAACGAAGGCTGGAGCAAGACTAATGAGCTGTTCCGATGACAAGACAATACGCGTGTGGAGGAGGAAGCCAAAGGAGAAGTCTGAGCCTGCCCCGACTGGGCAAGGTAGGATGCCTAGTATATGGAAGAACAACAACTTCGAGGAGGATTGGATCGAAGAGGCGAGATTGCCGCAGCTTCATGATCGGCCAATCTATGCTGTTAGCTGGAGTAAGAAGACTGGCAGGGTGGTTAGTGCAGGCAGTGATGGCATCATTGTGGTGTACGAGGAACGGTGGAGAAGAGAAAAGCCAGTGGATATCGAAATGGCAAACACAACACCGGAAGCTGTAAATGGTGCAACAGAGCGGCCTGCAAATTTGACGGAGTGGGTTGTGGTGGCACAGATTGAGAATGCTCATGATGTGTTTGAAGTGAACCACGTCACCTGGGCACCTAGATATGATAAAGGCAAGCGGTCAGATGATGAAGAAATCGTCATCAGTACTGGCGATGACGGCGATGTCAAGGCTTGGGTTCTGGACGGATGAAAGTGTCTTGAGGAAACCCAGCAGCACTCTCTCACCCGTTTCAAGGACATCACCGATGTATAATGCTATTGGCGAGTGGTCATGAAAATACCTAATTACTGTCCACAGATAGTAAGAGTGTTTGCGCCATACAGTACAGTCGATCGCGACATACCTGTAGCCGGTCTTTGGTTTACGCATACCGACTCAAGCCTCCGATGCCGTGCGTCGCTGCTCATCGCGTCGTCTGGAAGACGACATTTCCTAGCCGTGGCTTTTAGTCTGCCCATCTACAAAAATTGCGCAATTACTCGCTGAGCGTGCATAGTCGCCATTAGCGGTGGCTGTGCTGAATGTCGGTTGTGGTTGACGAGCAAGGACCAGGTAGGAGCGGACCAAGCTGTTTACCTGCATCCAGGAAGCCAAGCGTGAACTGATGACTGTATCTCACTTGGAATTGCAAAGGATACACGTACTCGCGACTTCGTAACCTCATCCCTCCAACATCTCTACACAGAAGCGCAAACAGTGTAAGTACAGTGCAGATATGGCTGTCACCGCGGTATTGCCTGGCGTCACTATCAGCGTCGTCGCCGAAGACAGGGTCTTGCAGGAGTACCCGGACGTGGAAGTCAAGGACAACAAGAAGACGACGACTCGATATATTGAGGCTGTCTCCGGACAGACATTCAGTTTGGAGTTTGAAGTCACGAAGGAGACTCCCATGCTCGGCACATATCTCGCCTTCCACGTCTTTGTAGATGGCACTGAGGTCGATGAGCTTGGACTGGACACCGGTTACATTCGCTTGTACGGAGACAAAGGCATAAGTCAGGGACGCTACTTGCATGGAGGTCTACTACAGAGATACTGCTTCACCGACCTCAACATAGGTACATGCAGATTCCAGACTGCCCGCCTCCAATGCGAGTATATTCATTGCTCACTGGCCCCTAGTAGATCACAACGACCATGTCAGCCAGGATTTGATGTCCAAGCTGAAAGAGCTTGGGACCATAAGAATCGAGGTTCATCACAAGAATAGGTCGTCCGTCCATCTGCCGAGCGCCGGGTTCGACACGCTGTTACCCGCAACTGGCGCTGTTTCAGAGAAAGCTCTCAAAGGACAATCAGTCATGCAGGCTGTACAGTAAGTGAGAGTACAGCGGATCGTGTAATGGGTCTGACCTGAGCAGACTGGGGACAGCGATCTGTGGAGCACATGATGTCGCATTCGGGAGCGCCTTCTTTGTTGATCCCTCCAGGACACCAGCAGCAACGTTCCTCTTCTGCTACCGGCCGCGAGGTATCGTTCCTACTCATGCCAAGCAACTGTATACTGAGTCGATGCGTAGCTGTGTTACAGTCTATGATGTTGCTTACGAGCAGTCATTCACCCATAAGTGTTCCGAACGGGATGGCTCGCGACAAACCTCCGGAGCTAAGAGAGCGGAAAGAAGACTTCAAGGTTATGATGAAGCACATTGTTCTCCGTGCGGATACTCACGCTTTGTAGGTTGAGCTGAAGGAAGAGATCAAAGTCAAACGAGAACAGAAATCGGCCTCACCACCTCGCCGTTACGAAGAGTTTGAAGTCGGAACAGTGAACAGTGAACAACAAATACTCATTCTCCGCGCAACCGCTGACTCTTAGCAGGCCGAGATGAAACTGAAGATCAAATTCAAACGAGAAGAGAAGGTGAACTCGCCACCTCGCCGGAAAGCCCGTCGTGGCACTCATGTGACTGTGATCGAGCTTGACGATGATGGCGAAATAGTCAGCGAAACGACGCGGCCGAGGAATGCGCCCATAGACATGTCAAAGTCCGTACCACTGGAGGAGTGATGAACTCAGTGAAGCTAGCTATTGATGCACGAAGTTGGTTTGGAGAAACCGAAACATCATTTCTGGGAGCTGTACGATTGTGGCAGGTTATCCCGACTCTCATGCGCTTCGCACATATTCATGCACCTTTGTGCACTTTCGCTCATGAACCAACTCAAGCGTCATGATTCACTGGTGAGGGACAACACGTACAAGTGAGTAGATCGGTAATAAGTTATTTTTTGCCACGCTTTCCAACCCATACACCGGTGGCCTGACGCTGCGACCGGGGGCATGTGAGAGTGACAAAGTAGAGAAAGTGAATTCTTGCTGTTTCGTCGGAGACACGTTGTTTTCCTGTTTGCTCACACCCAGTCACAGTTTGTCCCGGAGGTAGTTATCTGTCAGGCAACACCATTTCACTCCATACAAGAGGTCATTTTCTGCCCAGAAACTTTCAAGTCAACTCGCAGTTCACCCAACTGCATCACTACCATCGGCCCATAGGAACATGGCGATCTCCGAGCTCCTCCCAGGCCTGACGGTCAGCATCCAGATCAACGGTCGAGAACTCCCGGAGTATCGAGACGAGGATATCCAAGACCCAGAGCGTACTACAAGCTACCTGATTGAGGCTGTAGCTGACAGTATCTTTGAGATTCATGCCCGTGCCAATCCGCAAGCCATTTTCGCAGGCTCTTCACTGGCTATCCAGTTCTATGTCGACGGCAAGTACGTTGATGGCACACTGATCGATGCAGAAGACGTCAGCGAGACTGGTGACAGTGCGAAAAGCCAAGGTCGCTATGTAAGCAACGACATGTTGAGGAAATACCAGTTCGCCTCGCGAGAGCAACAGATTGAGATTGGTAAATATCCTTTCGACTCTCAGCTTCTTCATCGTTATACCAGTACTGATTATCAATGCAGTGGAACGACAGAGTAACTCGTTATCCTCACGTGGTCGTCTTTCGGGACGGTCCAGTGCAACGCCAAGTGTGAGCTACACTGGCTACAAGACTTACACTGGTCCTGGGAATACCGGCTACACTGCAAGATACCCTCTGGAGCCGACATCTGCTGTCCACTCGGAGAAAACTTCCTTCGGCACCATGACTGGGCCGTCCTACAGTCTTGCGGCTTCGTCGAATGCTGCAGTCGCTGGCAACTCTACTGGGGCTGTCTCAGCAGGCAGCAATCCCCCCATCACCTTGAACAGCACGATTCCGTTGCCCGATACAAACTTGAACGCGAGCACTACTGCTGGTGCTCAATGCAACGATCTGGAGGAGCTGGGCACAATCAAGGTCGTGGTTTGCCATGTCAACAAGAAGCAACCTGTAGACTTCGGCAGAAGCTCATCGGCTACGTCCAAAATCAGCGATAACATTCAGAAAGCTATCAAGGACAAAGCTGGAGGTTTGCTAGTAAGGTAAGTGAAGACAGCTGAACGCAGACAGCCCATTGTCGGCCAGGAAAAGACTGACCGCTCTCAGATTCACGGCACCTCAGCACGTGGCGCCAGTGACGACCTGGGATGTCGACCCTGCGAATGATACCGGCGACTCATCGGTGACCTACATCTATCATTATCGCACTCGCGGTAAGCTATCAGGGCCCCTTTCCTCCGTGACATGCCGCTCTTACTGATCGTCTCACACAGAAATGCTCGAGGCTTTGGACGTGATTCCAAATGATGCTCGAATCTTGCCTCTTCCACTGCGAGCAAAGAAGCTGGAGACTGTGGAGGAGCTTCATGAGCACGCAGGTGGACCAAATTTTGCCGGACAAGACGATGTCGATATGCAGGGTGGTGAGGATCAGGATACTGACAGCGGAAGCCGAGGCATGCTGTCGGCCGAAGGCGAGGACTGGGACGTTGTTTATAAGGACGAGGCGAGTGGTACATCTGGTCGTTGAGTTTGAGAGGTTTCGTGTACTGAGCGTTGTCGACCTGGTCGGGGGTAAAGGGATGAGGCTAAGATAGCTTCTCTGTAGCTCGGATCCTCCCATCATTCAGCATGATGACACTCGCTCAGTCTAGCCTCGAGGATCGTTATGAGCAAATTGCATCTTTCAGCCTCGCTGAAAGACCTCTTTTTAGAGCACGTGCTCGAGAGAAGAATGCGTAGGCTGTGTTCCAGAACAAGCAGCCTGAGGTGTCTTCGCACTTTCTACTTGAATGGAACTTTCCACCTGATCAGCTTCACTGCGCTAAATTTCTCCTGAACCTTTTCTCACTTTTCCCCCTCCTCTCCTCACAACCACCTGTAACAAACACCTCCTACTCAGCCACTCACCCGTCGACATCAGCAGATCGAAGTCAGCCACCATGGCAATACACCCTGACTTACCCGAGATCCCGGTGAGCATCAAGAGCGCTGGAAAAGTCCTTCCAGAGTATGAAGATCACCATGCGACGCCTGATCGCGACAACCTCGCACCAAAGCGCATCATTCGCTACATTGAAATACCAGAAGCCCGAAATGCAGCACCACCCGCAGCAGATCCTGGAGCTGATGCAGAAGAAGTTGCCCTGAAGGAAGAATGTACCTTCGAAATTCATGCAGATGTCCATGGCCTGACAGCAGAGTCGTATGCTGGACACTGCGGCTTGTTCTTCTCCATCTGGATAGATGGAGAGGAGGCAGATTCTCTGTTTATCAATGACCGGGTGATCAAGAACGAGAGTGAAGATGGGGAACTCTGCATGAGTCGAGGCCAATACACTAGTAATGGCACAGTCCTTCCCTTCTGCTTCAAGCCCATCAAGATGATCCATGCTGCTGCTGCTCCTGCTGCTGCTGCTCGTAGGGCACGGTCGGAAGCCGAGAAAGAAAAGCTTGAGCGATTGGGCACAATCAGAATCTCTGTCTGGTACATGAATAGCCCGGGGATTGTGGCGCCTGCAACGATCAAGTCAGGGGATAGAACTATCACCGGACTGGATGAGATTGACCTCAAAGGCAGAGCTGTCAGCCACACTGTCGGCTTCGGTGAGGCAATGCCTCTTGAATATGAAATGATCTGGGGCAGTTCTTCAAAAGATCTTGCAGCGGGAGAAGTGGCTGTATGGGAGTTTCGGTGTCGTTCGAGAGGTATGTCGTTATATGACTGCAGACTCATGACCACGGTTGCTAACACGTCAGCAGAGGCATTGAAACAGGAGCGGATTATCTTAGAGACACCCAACCCTTCACCCGAGCCAAACGAGGTTGATGACAAGGATACTGATCTCACCGACTTGACTCGGGAGCAGCCGATGGCGATGGTAATGCAGTCGCGAAAGAGGGATCGTCAGACCAACCAGTTCAAGACGAAGGTCAAGAATCAGATTTCCGAAGAGAGCCAATCTCAGGCTCAAGCTGACCGTGCACCACTGATCGCCCGGAAGGATGCCGACACCATACTTTGCATCAACGACGATGGCGAAGGCGTCCATGATGAGCCGCATCCAAAAAGGACCAGAAGGGCTAACGCAGCCCCGGCCGTTAAGAACCTTGAAGACGACGACGAAGAAGAAGAAGAAGAAGAAGGTCAAACACCGGGCATACCTAGATCGCTCGCCGACGAAGCAGCGTTCTGGGACCAATAAGGAACAGCTTGCGCAGACCAATCCGAAGAGGTTGAAAATGGAGCCAACAACTTCACCGACCATTTGCGGAATCGCTTTGGTAACAACCTAGGCGCGCTTCGCAACACTAACGCGGCGGCCAAAGACTGAATACGCTATTAGCAGGGCTACTGCTCGCACCAAGGGTGGAACCGCGAACTCATGGAACGAATTCTTCGGAACTGGGAACAGAATAGCCCAAGGTTTGGACTCATCGCTGATGGGAATAGCTTGGTGGAAGATTGATACGCAATGCTTGAACTGGCTGGTTGCATGAAGACGGGCAAAAATAATCAGGGCGATGTTGCGCCAAGACCGAACATGCGTATCGAGTTTCTCCATGCCCTGCAGCCATATATAGTCAGTTCACGGCGTCGCAATGCAAGAGAGATCAGGACTCACGCTTCCGCGACTTCTTCCACACTGATACCTTTGATGCCTGCCACAGCCCAAGCAACTCGCGGCATCGCACACGGCTCGTTCCTTCCTTTTACCATGAACTCCGCAGCCCACTTCTCTTTCTTCACTGATTTAGGCAATTCAGGAGCCCCGTCCAATTTCAGGTACGCTGCGGATGCATGACTTGGTCTCATCTCACACCAAGGTCCATCCGTCTCAATCTGTAGTCTCTCCAGTGGCACTTCCTTTACCACCGCGCAATTCTCTTCAGTCTTCATACTGCAGCCATTGATGCCAATGTCGAACCCCAGTTTGACGAGTGACTGCATCTCTTCGAGCGATCCCGTAAACGAATGCACCACTCCCCGTTTCGGCAGTTTGTCCAGACGTTCTTTCAAAAGTGCTTCAAAGTCTGCAGCGGCCGCTCTCGAGTGCAAAAACAGCGGCATCTCCAATTCCACAGCAAGATCCAGTTGCAAAGCAAAGTACTTCAATTGCGTTTCCTTGGTCGCATGCTGCAGACGATCATAATCCAATCCAATCTCACCAAACGCAGTCGCAGTCCCCGCATCCCGACTTCGCACCGCCAGATCTTTCAAATCTGCGAGAAGCTGCTCCGCGCCTGCGGGATACGTCTCAAAGGACTCTGCCGAACACGGATGTACGCCTATAGTGGCAAAGCACAACCCGGGATAAACTTCAGCAAGCTTAATCGCATTTTGACTTTCCTTCAAATCCGAGCCTGTGACCATCATTTTCTGCACACCGGCTTTTTGGGCTCGGTGGATGACATGCTCGAGATCGTCTTCGTGGGCTTTTTTGCCGTGGGATATTCCGCGGAAAATTGGGTCGGATAGGTTGATGCCAATCTATTACTGGCCGCCAAAGTTAGCCATGTAGATGGAAGCAAGCGGACCGGACAAGACAGGAGGGTACAGACATCGGCGTAACGCAAAGCGGGTTCCCTTTGGGGTTCACCATCAGTCGCCACTGAAGCATTTGGAGTGACTATGGTGGCCATTTTCGGCAATGTCACAAGACTTCTTCTGGTTTGTGTCCTATTAACGGATTTGAGGACAGCAAAGGCTTGCGATCGGAATCTGACACTAGACTTCATGTACAGCGAGTGATTAACACAATGTTGACCGGGATGTGGTGATGTGGTAGGAGGTAGGTCAGGTACATGTATGTTTTTTTGGATATGCAACGCAGCAAGAGGTGTTACCAAACGGCTGAGTCAGCATGCAGATACCCCTAACGTGTACATATCCAGGTATACCATATCTCTACATCAGGTTTCCTTAACATCAACAACCCCCAATTAAAATAACTCCGTCCATCATATACGATTCACGAGCGTGTACAAAGGAAAGCGGTCATGTTCCGCAGAGTTTCCAGCTGTCTGATGGCTGCTACGACCTCGATTGTCCCCGAAAAGCTTTCGGTTATGTTCGTCCTGTCCTGTCCCATATACCACCAACCCAGCCGCTTTCCAGATGCACACCCCAAGACTCGTACACGATGCAAGCGAAGTATCAGTCTCAGCACTAAAAGAAACCCATGTTATTAGTCGACGAAGCCTTTGGGAGGAGGAGGAGAAGGGAGAGGAGGAGAAAAAGTAAGTAAGAGAGGCCATACATTGGAGTCGCAAGGGCACTATAACGAAAATCGGATCATTAGCACAAAAGAGGACCATCAAGAATCTACCGACTGTCGCCTTCCTTTTTAATTCTTGTTTCAACAAAAAAGAAATGAACTTACAAGACTACATCCATGCTCGCTATCTTCGGCGCATAGAAAGCCTCCGGTGCCACAAAAGCCTTTTGACGCAAATGCGTAACAACAGCTACTAGTGCGTTGTCGTCCTCGTGGCGCAGACACTGCGAGTTGGACGAGAGCCAGAACGATGAGAGCGGAGAGGCGCATGTCGTTTGGTTGAGAGAGAGGTACAGTATGTTGAACTTGATATGGATTCTGGAGGGATGTGATTGATAGGATTGTAGAGTGAGTGACTGTAAAGTGAGTGACTGTAGAGTGAGTGACTGTAGAGTGAGTGACTGTGAAATGAGCGACTGTAGAGTGAGTGACTGTAGAGAAGTCGTGAGAATGGGCAGACCTTGGGATTTAATACTCTAGCATACAGCGCACCGCCGCCCCCTAAGAGCAGGGTATAGTACAGCCTGTATAGGTGATTCTTGCCTATTCGTACTGCTATAGCCTACAGCCTCCATAGGCTTGGTTGTATGTGATTAGAGTTTATGCCTCATCAAATGTACGCAAGGTAAGGTCTAGGGGCAGACTTCATACCCAGGTATGTAGGTAGCTTCTAGAAGTCTTCTATACCCGCCTTTATCCTCTATCCTTTCTCCCTCTCTTTCTCTCTCCCTCTCTTTCTCTTTCCATCGATTGCCCAAACAACCGCACACCCGCACCCAAACATATACACGAAGCAAGTCCGTATTTCTCAGTCTCAGCACTAAAAAAAAAGAAAACCCCCAATGGATCTCATTAGTCAACGAAGCTTTCGGTAGGAGGAGGAGGAGGAGGAGGAGAAGGGACGTGAGGGAAGACCATACACTCGAGTCACAAGGGCACTACAAAAAAAAGTCAATGAATTAGCACAAAAGATCCAGCACCAAAGGGGGAAACAAAGTTGGAACTTACTTCACTACATCCCGTCGTACGAGACTCTGGGCACCAGGAGTTGCGTCCGCTGCCGCATTTGCCTGGTTCTGCATAGCGGTAACAACAGTCACTGGACACTCGTCCGGTACGGGGCGTAGAGACCGCGAGTTGGACGAGGGCGAGGGTGAGGAGGGCTGAGAGGCGCATGTTGTCGGTCGTTATTGTACGTTCTTTATTTATTTATTTTTATTTTTATTCCTTTTGTTTTCAGATGAATGATGTGGACTCTGGAGGGTGTTGATGGAGAATGATGAATGAAAGGGAGGGGAGGAGACTGAAATGTATTAGTAGAAAGAGACGGGAACTTGTCTCTTCTTTCGATTCTTGCATAGCGCGCACCCCATCATCTCCTAGACTGATGGTAGCGCGTCGCCGCTGTGCAACTAGTTCTGGTGTGTAGGTAGGCGCAATGATTGTCTAGGTACCTAGGTAGCGAAGAAGAGCCATACCAGGTAATCTTCAGATCCTTGTTTGTACTGTACTAACATGGCTACACCCTTCCGCTTCGAATCTCGGCATTGGGAACCAGTGACACTGTATCTCTGATCTGGGGATGTTAATAGAAGAGCTGGTAAGGTATTGGGACTTGACTCTGTGAGACCAATGCTTTCTAGGCCGAGGAATCCGAACGGAGGTACTGAACATACAACAATAACTGCATCCAACATATGAGTTTGGTTTTTCCCAAATCTCTCAAGAATCAAGGGGAGATACATACAGTACGTATATACGAAGTTCTTGTTGTAAACCTGCGCGTAAGCACTACTACAAGTTTTCAATCCTACCTACTAGAGGTGTAGTACCTTAGTTTAGTGTTAGTGTTTTCCCGCACCATCCCTGGAGCCGAAATTTGGGTGTCGCACCACTTACCTCACTTGGCACACCCTATAAGTAGTAGGTAAGGCTGAACTTGGCGGAAGCTTAGTTTTACTTGACGACTAGGTATATGTATGTAGGTACCTATGTAGCATCTTGGCGTGATACCTATTGTAGGTACCTAAGGTAGTTTGAGGTAAAGGAGAGGGACAGCTCTTGATCACTCAACAAAGCAATATAGAGAGGGATTGGAATGGATCAGCGATTTTGACAAAGAACTTTTTCGTTACATTGCAACAGATATCCTCAATCCAGACTCCGACTCGAACGAACACCCGAAATCACGCGAAAGCAGAAAGCACAATTCGGCCGTCACGACATCAGAAAGTAATAGTTGCCCAACTTCAGCGGAAACCACAGTCCAAAGACGATCGTGTCATCACAATCACCTGTATATTGGTCAATGATGATAGTTGACATGTTGTGGTGGACGACTCTAGAGACTTACACAGCTCATTCCATCTCTGCGACAGGCTTGCGCGAGTAGTCGAACTTGAATTTGAAATTCCGATGATCTTCATCGCTGTCGTCAGCGCGTGGGAGGCTGCTGCCATTGGATTGCGGAGACTCCGTCGGCGAAGACTGATATTCCTCGTCAAACCCCGAGTCATGGTCGGAGGAGGACACCGATGGCTTTCGCTCCTTCTCTTTGCCTTTGCACTTCGCGTCCCGCTTGGCTCGCTTGTTGGGAGGGGAAATGCTCGCGAGCTTCGAGTAGTCAAGCACCGAGTCGACATCCCAGTCTTGCGCAAGCTTGCGCTTTCGATCAGGACTTGGCGTCAGGGTCAAATCACCAACGGGTGGTGCATAGCCTTCCTTGTCTGGCCTGGAAGGCTTCCTGACGGCATCCATCGCGCTTCGAGGCACCGCAAAGGTATCACCGAGGTCTCCTTCATTGCTGATCACAGCCATCGTCTGTTTCTCCTTCTTCGGGATATCGAGAAGATCAAAGCCATGCACCCTCTTGACATGCACCTGTGCATTACCCTTCTGCGTGAAAGTCTTCTTACAAACGGGACATAACCACGGCTTGGGATTGTCCGAATGCAGAAGCTGATGTTTGATCGCGTTGCTTTTCTCTGTGAAGCGCTTGTTGCACTCCGAACATCTCCATGGCTTCTTTCCTGAGTGATTTGCTTCATGTCGCTTCATGTAATGTTTCGATTTGAAGGTCTTGGCGCATATGCGACAGCTATGTGGACGGTTCGGGTCTACTATTGCGACTGGAGGCAGATCGTTTTCCTCGTCGCACATCACGACGAGGGCTGCCTTGTTTCGAGGCTCTTCTTTGCTGGAAATTCCAAGGTCCATGTCGTCAGAGTCACTTTGCGCATCAGGTCGAGCGTAGGGCTTGCTCATTTGTGTGCACGTCATGGTGGAAAGAAGCTGGTCCTGGTCCCAAGGTATGGATGATGAGATGGTGGCCGTGGGAGGAATCGAAGGCAAGACTAATGTGAGCAGTGAAAGGCGTAAGAGTTATGAGCAACCTGAGGGATCATTCAGTGTCATGCGGGACCGCAATCATATATTTCTCGGCCTGGGCCCGTGCCCTCCCACAGGAAGGCGAGCTGTGAGCTGCTTTCTCGACACGTCGATGTTCCTGCTTGCACTCATGATAGACTTTGGTGGAACACAGGGAGGTCGATGAGAACTGCGGGATGTATTTGATTCCATTCAATTGTGTCCCTTGACAGCGTGGAGTATGTCGATCGTGAAAATAGCAAGTCAATTGCCACCTGCGATCACGAATATGAATTCTCAATTGTTCATAATCTTCGTACCAGAGATAATGAGACAGGTGAGTAAACTCTACAGTCGAGTTTCGATACGTTCATTCCTGTGCCGCAATGTTTGGGAGGTGAAGTTGCCACCGAAAATATCGAATTTGTTCACGAAGCCGGGGTAGTTCCACTAAAGTCTAGAGTTTAGGTACCAGCCCGCAGTTCGTCCCCGGAATCTGCAGGTGTAGTCACCATCCTTGCTATTCGCATGAGATCTCAGCCCTGGAATAGACTCGGACGTGTTATTGCAACTGTTTTTGGGCCAATGTTCGCAACATCCCATGTACGAAGCGAGTGGACCAATTGCGCATGAAAGACAAAATCATCCGCAATTCGTAGTCTAGTCCGAGAGCTCGCTTCACGCGTAGAGTCCTAAGCGGCATGCTCCTTCGTGGAAACTTCATGGCTGATGGGCTAGGTTTCACGATCCAAAAACTGGACTGCGTACCGCCTCGCGAACATGGTGACAGACTGTTGGTCATCCCTGGGTGGAGATACCATCCCCCAGACGTCAATCGGACAGGTATATGCACGAAGCGCGTGCACTCGAGTCCACGAGAATGCTTATCATGCTCATGCGTGAAATATCTCATAACAGCATGCCAATTTTCGCGGCCCAAAGATGAGGTCAGAACCCGCGTTGTGAACACTCTGCCCAATCTGGAAGTTGCAAATACGTTGTCCACTGGCCTGATTTAGTATCTGTCTGTTGTTGTGCACCTTGGGCCCGGAGTCTTCCGGATGGGATTGATGCAGATGGATGTGAAGTTGCTCAGGAATTCAGCTGCTCATTCACTAGCCGGGTATACGCCTTGCATGGTTCACTGACGTACCAAGATATCTCGTTCCGAATGCAGATGTTGAGTTCTGTCCAGTTGGCGTGCGATCGAAGTGATGTGCTCAACATCTTTCCATACTAAGGTACTTATCGACTCCGCTTACCAAGGTCCTTGCACCAAGACTCTCTTCGTGGTTGCCATCTCTATTCAGAATTCGCAAAGACTGTTCTCTAAGAAAAACATCACCATGCCTGTACAATGGCACGAAGAAAATCTCAAGCGACTGTTTCTCGCGGTCCTCGCCGTGAACAGAGTAGACATTGCAGCCGTCGCGAGAAAGTGGCTGGAGCTATATGGTGAGTATGCACGGCAATGCAAATCTGGAAATTGCTGATCTCGAATAGGATCTGAAAGCTTTGAACATCCTTCCAAGCGTGCCATCGAGCTGCAGATTTGGAAGCTGAAGAAGTCCGTGGCTACGGCTACAGGAAATATAGGCTCAGAGGCTTCCCCAGCGAAGTTGAAGAAGTTGAAACTGGCCAACAACTCGAGGGCATATTCGATTGGAGACAAAGACAGCGACGACTCAGAGTTTTTCGATGTACCAATCAAGAAACGCTCGCCATCTATCGCAAACACAAAGCAAGAAAGTGTCACACCCATAGCTTCCGGCAGTAGCAGTAATGCGATCAAGGCAGAAGATGCCGGATACGATAACAACATTATCGTAATCGATGATAGCAGCGACTCGGCAACCGAAGGACGTTCCGTGACATCTCATCAGGCACGAGACGAATTCGACAATGTTTCGAAGCCCTCGATCTCTTCCCCAGGACAGAAGAATCGCCCACATCAAGCACAGTCCGGGTCTATCGTAGATGATGAGATGCCGCCGCCATCGAGAGCTGAACAACCGTCTTCGTCTCGTCAAGAAAGGACTGGAAAAGATGGCTCTCCGTCGAATGCCATTAGACGGCACGCGAGCGCTCCAGCACGTTCGATTCAGAAGGGGAGTTCAGCCTACGACCAGGTTGAGCAAGCAGTGCAGGCACCAACAGACCAGAAACGCTCTGCGCCTGGAATCTCAGGTATCAAACGTCATCGTATAGCTACGGCTGGTGCAAGTGCTTTGAAGAGGAGACTAGTCTCGAAGGGCGCAATGAGAGGACCGGGCGGCCAGTGACTGTAGATAGCAGGGTGTGGTATCCGGCTGCGATGGGGCTCCACTTTTTGTACTCTCGAGGTAGCAATTGAATTGAAATTATGCTGTTGAAAATGCAAACAATGATCGTGAGTGCTCCAGCGTCCCATGCGAATCGATGAATGGACCCTAGGTAGACATGCATGTATCTATGACCAGCGCTTATCCTGGCCGATTGAGTGCGTGTCACTCGGTAAGAGTGCGTGTCACTCGGTAAAGTCAATTTGAGCAGCATCGTCCTGGACCCTCGCGCTTTCCAATAAGAATAGCAAATGCGTATCAAGTACCGCGGGATTCGTGGGGTGCTTGCAACGTTGGCCAGCGCGGGGGGCCGTAGAGGATCGTGTATAAAGTGCGCTCAATCGCACATCTCTTTTGACCAAACACCAACTCTTTTCAGCGCCACCTCCATCAGCTCCCTCAAAACTCTGCAGAGTCTGGCACAGCTCTCATAAGCAATACATCATACGCTGCTAGAAACATGCCTGTCATCTGGAGCCAGGAGAATGATCAACGCCTGATCAAAGCTATGTGGGAATCTCCTAGCAAGAGTTTTGGTGATATCGGGACGGTCTTCTTCGGTGAGACGTCGATCTCGTGTTCTCGTGCGTTGCACTGATTATCGATGTCTCAGGTCATGCAGTGAAGACCGGAAGCGCGGAGTGTCAGCAGATCATGAGGCGTATTCACAAACTGACTGGCAAGAGCGACTCAAGTGGAACAGTGAAAGCCTCTAGATCTCCGTCTGGAGTCCAAAAGAAGAGGGCAGGGCGAAGACGCAAGAAGTCGAGCACTCCTTCGGAGGCGGACACAGATGGCGGCTTTGATGAGCGTGTGGCGTTTCCAGGTGAGACGTACCTTCTCACGAAAGGTGTCTGCGATGGGTCTGATTCTTTCGTTGGTGCTAACATTCTTTGCAGGAGTGCAGGACTCTTCAAGCTCAGACGTGCCGCCGCTGAGGTCGCCAAGAGTCCGAGCATGCAAGCCAAAATATCTGGTTGAAACTGAGACGGAGGGAAGTATGGATGAGATAGAAAAGCCAGGGGCAGATGAACCTTTCGCCGGAATTGAAGAGTGAAAGCGGAATTGTATGCGGACGATGTCGATGCAAGAGAATGTCCTCGGGAAGGCGTTGGCGTTCGCTCGGCGTGTAACTTCAGCTCAAATTGATACTGCTGTTCTGTTGAATTTGGGATGTACTCATGCACTTCCATCAGGGCCCAGGCAATGCCTAAGTCCGTGATTCGCTTGGTTGTTGATGAAAAATGGGTGCCTCGTAGCCACTTGCTAGGTAGTCAACGTAAAAGTTGATATGCACTTCCTCGTCTCAGAGCCCTTATTTCGTTCTTACACTCCTGCATTCCTGTTTGCTCGCTTCGAGCTCAGTCAGTATACCTTTGACGCGATACCTTTTCTTTTAGCCAGCGCCTGATCTTGACTATACTTCGATCGGAAGGCAAAAGTTACAAAGAGATCACGTGCAAGTGGTCTGAGCTCTGTGCTGTGGTATGCCTCCATCGGCAGATTAGCGACGATAGTGCTAATGGCAGCAGGCAAGGATTATCCACTTCCAGATGGTGTGCGTCATCGCTTAGATTCACTTGTCAAGCCTTTCAGTCTGCCAGCCTCGATGCAAGCTCGTGCTGCTCGACGTGCGGGCAACCCAAGCAGGAACCAGTCCAAGAACCATGGGGAGTCGAACTCTGCCAGCCAGAGCGATAATGCATGAAGAAGTCAGTCTCCTCTGACCGCACTTCTGTGTGAAAGTCAACGAATTGGATAGAGTGCGACCAGGTGCTGGCACAGATGATCTCGTGATAGCCGCGGAAGCATGCATAGAATCCCAGGAGTCCGAAGACCATGCAAAGGTATCAGATTGGTTCCTTTGACGAAGCTCCTTCGAGTAATGTCACTGGTTCGGTCCTACAGCTTGTTGAACCGCGGACGGCGCCGGGGATTATGGGATGGGCGATACCAAGTCCGACAGAGACGTTCGGAGTATGAGATGGGGGGTTCGATTCCGGGAATTCAGCAGCATTACCACATCTTCGAACTCGAAATCCAGGCTTCCAAGGGCCAGGGAGGGTGGCTGCTTGAAGTCTCTTTATTTGTGCTGTATCAGATCGAATATATCCCGGTCAGCTTTTTTGTATTATAACTCCTTCTTCCCACCGCTGACACCCATGGGTCCACTAGCAGGTATCTTCATTCCCTCCATCTTCAACTTCTCGCCCTTGTTACTCCCTTCTTGCACTTTCCCCTCTTTCAATGCCCAGGCAGCGACAGCCAGCTCCATGGCCATAGCAATCACGCTGCCGCACGCAATTCCCCAGACGTTGACCGAGACTCCGCCTAAAGGAGCCCTCGGGAACGAGAGAACCCATTCCGCATAATAAGGGACCCAACCTGATGGAAGCCAAAACATGGCAGTTTTCGAGTAGTAGGTATTGAGGAGGAAATTGACGCCTTGCGTTCCGATCCAGCGGAGTTTGGAAACGATGGAGTTGAAAGTCTGGTGGAAAGACTGCAGGGACGATGCTTCCTTCTCATACTTCTCCTTGGCCTTGTCGTGTTGTCGCCTGATTTTTGCCCACTTTGCGAATTCGTCCTGTGCGGAGACGGCTCGCATTTCGCGCTCGAGACGGACTACGTCGGCGCGCAGTTTGAGGTTCTCCTGGGCGGATCTGGATTGAGGCGTGGGGAGGAGGGTGAACAAGTACCAGGCCTGTTTTGAGCATAAGTCAGCTTGTTGACGCGTGGTACGAGATTGTGGTAGGCATACAACATCATTGACGGTCTGGGCGCCGACTGTGCTGATAAGGCTCAACATCAGCTGGACGACGAACACGATGAGAAGGACTGAAGGCATCTTGCTGATGGATGTCCTTTGGTTTGTTGGTGTTGCTCGTGGTGTTTGGGAAGCTGTTGTCAGCTGTACCTATTTCTGATGTCACAGTGGTCAAGACGTCTCGGGCGAGTTTCGGAGAACCGCCTATGTGTACTCCCCAACATACGTACGTCCTGGGAGGTAGGAGGTAGGTAGTTCTATAACACATACAGCGTGTTCTCCTCCGTGATATCTAAAACCGATATACATCTCTTCTTCTCACACATTATTGCTACCTTTAGATATATCTAAGTCGCTTTTCTTGCAAGCAATGATCGTTGAGGAGCTGAATGCCTGGCCTTCGCTCCTCCGTAAGCCATCTCCACATCATCCGCTCAAAGACGAGGAAGCGCTCCTTGGTTTCGCCCGACAATACCGAAACCGCCTGCTCTAGAGACTATAATTACCCTCTCGTTTCGTAGAGAGCCACAGAGCCAGCAGCTTCTCGAACGTCTCGACACAGCCAGGAGGCAGAATGTCCTACAACTCGAGTGTTGGATGCTATTATCCCTCCATTCCGCACTCGGTAGAATTGTTCCGGCCTAAACCAGGATAGCCGCTCTTCCTCAAACAGCTGTGAAGAATTCTGGCTGGCCATGGCTGGTCTATGTCCTGGTCGACTGATGAAGCCTTCGCTGATGATCTCAGGCTAAACACTCGATCAGGGGCTCACTCCTCGTAGACCATTCGATCCATCACACCCGTCGTTCACCCATACTTTGTCAACCGATGGCATTACTGGTACTCGCCTCGGAAATTGGGACAATTCCAAGGCATCTTGGTGATGGACGCCGACACAATTTGATAGTTGTTGTTCCCCATGTACCTCGTCTCGTGCCGCGGGACATTTTTTCCCGGAGTCTGATGTCATGCATAGCGGGGGAGATGAACATTCACTCTCTAGTTCACTTGCCGTGGCCGGAGCTAGGCTGGATAAAGACAAGGCCGGCATCTCCTGATTGTGCAACTTCACCGCCGATCTCTTGATACATGTACCTTGATATCCAACACACCTCATGTAGGGAAGTGAAAGCGCGATGCCTCAAATCGACCCCGACGTAGGGTGCGTCGTACCCGACCCAGGCCAGTGGCCCATCGACCCGCAAGAAGATGTGCCGATTCAAGAAGACCGCTTGTGGATTGACGGCTGCTTCGACTTCTTCCACCACGGTATAACTACATCCATCTTCTTTTGTCCTCCCTCGATCATTGGTAGCCCAGAGGGACGCAACAGTGGCTGATCACGTGAGGTCACGATCAGGCCATGCAGGCGTCATGCTACAGTCCCGCCGCTTCGGCGAAGAGCTCCTCGTGGGCCTCCATAGCGATGAGGAGATCCTGCTCAACAAAGGCCCGACCGTCATGTCCCTCGCCGAACGGGTGGCGGCGGTCAATGCCTGTCGCTTCAGCACCATGTGCATACCTCATGCGCCCTACGTGACTTCGATGCCGTGGATCAGCCACTATGGGTGCAGATATGTCACTCACGGCGACGATATCTCGTCAGACGCCGATGGGAATGACTGCTATCGGTTCGCGAAGAAGGCGGGGAGGATGAAGATTGTCCCGAGAACACCGGGCATCAGTACGACAGATTTGGTGGGGAGAATGTTGGACGGCACGACGGATCACTTCATAAAGAGCTTGAGCGATTGTATTGACGGAAAAGAAGGGAGACCGGAATGGAATGACGCAGAGAGGAGACAGCATGGGAAAGAGATGCAGAAACGGATCATCGAATATGCTGCTGCGCCCAACGGAAGAGATCCATTTGTTGTGGTGTATGACTACAAACCTAATACGAGCTATATGGGAACGGGAGACTTTGCGAGTCTCGTCGCTGGGATGCCTCCCCGACCGGGTCAGCGCCTCGTCTACGTGGACGGCGGATTCGATCTCTTCGCGAGCGGACACATTGCCTTTTTGGAGACTGTGAGCAAATTGGAAGAAGAACAAGGCCGACAACGAGGGTGGTACAGTGAAGCTGCGGAACAACAACGCATCGACCTCACCGGATCCGACTATGGGCCCACATACATCATCGCCGGAGTGCACGACGATGCAGTTGTCAACCAACATCGAGGCGCAAACTATCCCATCATGAACATTTTTGAACGAGGTCTCTGCGTCGTTCAATGCACATATATCCACGGCGTCGTATTCGGAGCACCCTACACTCCCGATGTCGGTTTCCTCGACTCTCTACCGTTCGGCAGAAGACCCGACGCCGTATACCATGGCCCTACAGCGTTCATGCCGCCCAGCGAGGCAGAAGGCGATCCTTATCGAGACGCCAAGAAGCTCCAGATCTTCACCGAGACGCCGACGCATGACTTCCAGGATGTGAATGCCGCAAACATCGTCCAACGCATCTTGGATCGAAGGACGGAATACGAGGAGAGACAGAGAAAGAAAGGCGTGAAAAGTGCCGTAGAAGTCGAGCACAAGAAGAGAGAGATTGAGGAGATCGCTCAAGCGTTGACATGAACCAAGATCGCCCAACAACCGCGAAAGACGTTGAACGGAATCGCTCCCTCCTCTAGAGTGTTCGAGAAATTGCTAGGCTGGCTGCTTCTGCTTGAAATAAATAGCATGCATGTTCATGATACCCAAATCGTCGCGTATGGAGCCGCTGATATCAAATTGTGTAGATGCCCGCATTTTCACTAGGTACCTACACCACCTTTTCCTTTCGTACCCACCCTACATACCTAGTGTGTTGCTATGCAATCGCACGGCCGTAACATGATCAAACCATGCTACAATGTACCTCCTAGGTCTAGGTATGTAGGTTCGGCGAGGTTGGAATGGTTCGCCTCGCTATCTGGTAAGCTTGCCCCACGCTACCGACTTCACGGGTTGCCTACCTTACATACCCGACCTTACCTTACCTTAACCTTAGGAGGTACCAGGTAGGTTACAATTTCTTCCTCTTAGCCTCTTAGCGAATACGATGAAGCTATGTCCTCTCTAGGAATTCGTCTTTCGCCGTCTTACCGTCACGCCATGTTTCTCAATGTAGACATATCGAGATTCTCAGTCGTGGCCGACTCTTTCCCAAAGTACACTAACGCGGAGCTTCATGACCGTAGTGGCCTCATTTCTCAAGGCTACAGACACATAAATGGATTAATGTAGGAGAGCGCCGTACCATTGCAGGAAATGCTCGCCCATCGAAGGCGCATTGACGCAGTCTGACACAAAATATCTACGGCCGCCGCACGCTGCATGCCGCTCAATCGCATCAATGAAAAAGGAAATCGCTCAAATAAAGCAACAATCGCCAGTAACGCAGGATTAACCAAGCATTGAAGCCATCAACCCTCCGGACCCAAGCACGTCAGCAACCAGGACGAGAATGCTGACGGTCCATGCGCCGAACGACAGTGCTCGGGCCGGATCATTGCTTCCCCTTCTCACGACATTCGTGAAACCCAAGATCACAAAAACTAGACTGCAAAACATAGAAAATAGTACACCAAAGTGCACCTCCCGGATGTACTTGTGTCTCCCGGTAGTGCGAAGGATGTATGCCATGAGCAGCATGGCGAGAGACGCTGCGAAACATATTGCGCTAAACTGCGGCAAGAATGTGGATGGCCGTTCGCGCCGAAAATTGGTCATTCCAGGCTGCTCGAATGTGCCAAAGGAGACTGCAGGTTTGGGGAAGCGGATCCTGGTAGTGGTAACATCAGCCTCTTCGTCCGAGGACTCTTCCTCATCTGCCGTAAGGGTACCAGGTGCATACAGAAGAGCTTCCTCTTCTGGCTTCTTCCTTCCTGTGAAGACGGTCGCAACTTTCTCGAAGAAGCGGTCAAAAGGATTGGTTTCGTTCGGGTCGACGTATATGTAGTACGCGTTTGCGTCATCGCCGTCCTCGGGGTCATCGTACTCGCTCCAATACTTTTGGGTCGGTGTCTTCACCTCGGGGTACTTTCTACGCTTCTTTTTGCCGAATGACTTCAAGGGCGGAGACTCGAATTGGCTAGCAATTTCATTCGAGGTATCCACTGCCGTAGCACTGTCCAGAGTGCCCGATGAGTTTGTGTCGGCCGACTGCAATCCTGATGCATTCAAGTCGCTGCTTCTGCTTGGCCTTTTTCGATATGCAGCAGGTGGCAGTTTACGGATATCTTGTGAGAGTATCGGCAGCCACGGAGGGGAAGGCATACATTCAGGCCGATAAATCTGCCAGACCGAGTGGTATTCCAGCGAAAAGCCTCGTACGCGCTCGACTAGGTGGCTTCTGTCCAATGCGGCCAACAGCCCCGACTTTGGCTTGCCTTCTTGTCTGACCCGCAACAGAGCGAAAGGAAATGCTGACTTGTTTCTTTCTTGTTCCGTTTCGGCGGCATTTTCGACAAGGATGCCGCTGTCCAACGTAGCTACCACCAACCCCTCCGCATTTTCGTCCAAGCCAATTAAGCGCGAGCGACTACATGAGTAGTGGAAAAGCGGCTTGGTATTGTCCTTCAGCAACTCATCCCGCAGCTCTTCCACCCTTTCTGTAGCGTCTGCCTCATCTCTTTCTGTCGAAAACTCGGCCTTTACGTTGAAGAAGTCGTCAATGTGCTTCTTTTTGAGGTATGCGCTCTTCGTCCGCCCTGACTCAGATCGAAGGCATGCGAGTGCGTCTCCATCGATCGTCCAGCGTACAGCAGCTCGCGCTCCCTGCGGAAGGCTCCCAGCCTTGTGTTCGCGCTCGTTGACGGTAAGGCTACTTTGCTCTTTCGTGAACCGCTCGAGGTTATCGGCAACAAGCATGTGATAGTCAGCGACATCGGGTATGGCGCCGGGAAACGTCGGTGTCTGCGGCTGGGATGAGATGGGTGTCCTGACAGAGTTCTGCCGGCTTCTGGACAGGTAGAATTTGCAGTGCTGTAGAAGGAGCATCTGTAGCTCTATGATGTTCTCTGGGTGCACGAAATAGCTCGCGAACGTCCCATCCTGCCCAAGTGGTATTGTCGCTAGGTTAGTATCAAAGAAGACCTTCGATCCACTCTCTATAGCCTCCTCCAACTGCTTGATCGACGACGGACCCCCATCCTGCGCCTTGGGCTCGGGTTTCTTCCCTCCGGCAGCCTGGTGCACTTGGCTGTCGTATAGCGTTCGTATCGTTTGGCGCGTTGTCGAATATTCGTCCAGTAAGTAGCCCAGGTCAAGCTGGGTAAAGCTCTTGGGGTCGTCCAAGACCTCTTCCCGAAATCGATCCTCCACCTCTGCAGAGCCAGTCCATTTCTTGTACTTCTTGAGCAACTTACGAAATGCCGTTCTCTGAGTAGCGATGAATCTGGCGAGGGACTTGATCTCGTCTCCAGCTTTCACGACATCATTCTCCAGACGTCCATAGCGCTCGAGCCGACCGACAGGCACTCGCTGATCGGCTGCGAGAGTTCGTCGCCCTGCTAGGGCTCGAAGTTGCTTCTTGGAATGTTCTGTTAGAGTGTAAGTACATGCCAGGGAAAGGTGCGTAGCACGCTGTGCGACACTCCACGCGGAGATAAGCGGCGTTTAGACGAGGATCAGGACCAGGTACCGTATCATTGTCCCGAAGAACATTCCAGAGTTCGGCACAGCGCAAGGTCAATTGCGAAGTGGAAAAAGGGGCGTAGAACTCACCTAGTCGTCTCTGTATCTCGCCAGCTTTGCTCTTCACAAAGAGATTGATGCGCTCGTGCTGGTCCTGGAGGATGTGAAAGAGCGCGTTCTCGAACTCAAACAGCTTGTCCTCGCCGCGTCCGGGTACAGACACGCTCTTTCCCTTGCCCGGAGTGGTGTTCTCTTTGATAAAGTGCTTGATGTCGTCGTAGTCGATGTTGTCTGTGATTGCGCCGTTAGCCGCCGGTAAGGTGCAGATTTGCATTGGCAAGCCGAAGCGCGGCTACCGGAGCCATTGGAGAGCGGAGAATTGGCGGGACAAGGGACAGCACTCACGGTGAGCCCAGGCAGGAATGGAGCGCTGCCGGAGAGTCTCGCCATACTTCATTATGGTGGTGGGGTGTCTGCGCGCGGAAGTAATGTAGTCGCAAAAGGGAGGCTAGAAATGTCGTCTAGGCGGGTTGGGGGGAGAGTGGTTCAGGGCGGTAGGTGCATGGAATGGTGGTGGGCTGGCACGATGAAGGCAGGTTAGGTCTGGTGCTTTCCAGGTTATCGTGATGACATCGCTGGCGTCATATTACACCAAGGCGCAAACTCGAGGGAATTGGCAGTCGCGAGTGGTGATTGGAAAGAACGGTGGACAGGGCAGGGCAGGACGGGGCAGGGCAGGGCAGGGCAGATAGTAGGGTAGGTAGGTAAGGTGAGGGTATGTACATGTATGGGGGGGTGGAAAACAGGTGAGGCCGAAGGCGGCGGTGTCAGATACCTTATAGCTGGATGCTCGACGACTGGTGCTCATGGAACAAAGTCTCACCTCCGCAAGCGACAAGATGCGGCAGTCAGGTAGGAGGTACAGTACAGGTACATACTAACATGTACCTGTACTGTGGTCGTTGTAGGTTCTAGAACTAGTCTTGCAAGTTGCAACAACAGTTTCCGTAGCCGTGACGAGGATCAGGTATGTAGCCTTCACAAGAAATAGGTCAATATAATTCCGTCGCGTCCTCGTCGCCGCCCCACCGCCCAGCCAGCCCGTGAATAATCGCGGATCCCACACTGCACAGAGCACATCCGGCCATGGATATCCCTGGCAGCACCGGAGTGCTCGCTGCACGGCGACTGCGCGACGCTACGTACTGGGCAAGTTGTCGCGTGTGCTCTCCGATATCAACCACCTTATGATCCTTATCATTCACTTCTACAGTTCTACTTCTGTTTGTCCTGCTTCCACCAACATGTGCGTTGTGTCACTCCAATCTCGGACTACCGATCGATCTGGGGAACCATTCCTGTGGTGACCAAGCCGGTGTGCGACAAAGGCCGTCGCATAGGGTCCCGCAATCGCAATCGCGACATCAATTTCACCTGGACGTGCCGCATCTGACGATCGCTGTTGTTACTTTCGAGGTACTCTGTGGGAACCTTGCAAGATGCATGGACATACAACTCCGCCATCTGACGCAACCTGGAAAGCGAGGACCGTGCAAACACATATGCTGCCCATCGCTGCCGCCGCCGCGCCGAATGTGAACATCCGAAGGAACAGTCGTCGCCGCCGGCTGAATAGACCTATCTTGCTCGCGCTGCCGTAAAACCGGGTCGCGAGACTCGCGACATGCCAGCCACATCGATCTGCATGTGGACGAACTCTATCTCCCCAGCGGCAGAGATGTCCAAACCTTAGTAATAGTAAATAGTCATGACTATTACTATTACTATTGCCCTTTTTGGACAGTAGTAAATAGGGATTACTATTTACTACTTCTCAAAATGCCGATAGTAATAGTAATAGTAATAGTAATTAGTAAGGGTATAATAGTAATTACTATTACTATATAGTAAAGATACTTTACTATTTTAGTATAACGTATATTCTTACTCTATTTTAGTATTGTATAAGCCTCTATATATCTATATAAAGGACTATATATCTATATATATATAGTAGAAATTTCAAATAAGTAGAGTCGGAAGAAAATTCTACTATTAAATCAATTTCTACTACTAGTTAATATCGGTAGTAAATACAACTATACTATATTAAATCTATAGTCTTGAGATATATATATTATATATTTTTATAACATTTGCTATATAACAATAGCTCTAATTATATAGCTTTCTAATAGAGTTTTCTTTTTAGATATAACCTAATAACTTATTCGTTTTAGGTAATACTAATAACTAGGCCTTATTATAGGTACAACCTACCCTAGTAGGTATATAGGGTAGGTTAGGTATTGGCAATACCTAATAGGTATAGGTATTTAGCTAGGTATACCTAACCTATCGGGTTAGGTACAAACCCTAGTAGGTATTACGATACCTAGTAGGTATTACGTACCTTATTAGGTATTGGATTTTT